ATTTTGATGTGTACGTACAGTTGTACGTTAATTGAACAAAAAGAGATTCACTCTGCTGAATCTCTCCAGAATGAAATTCAGAATCCAGACAGGTGCCATTATTCTGGCTTAGCAACATAAGTCCCTCCATTAAGTCTCTGGGGAAAGATTGCAAATGAACGAGTACTTGGTTCGAATCCACAATTTGGATTATAGGCAACTGGTATCTAGTGATGCAAGCCAGTTAAAACATTTTATTACCAAGTCAGTGCAATAAGATGGTAATCATTTATAGAGGACAGTGAAAAGTTTTTAAGGAGCCAGACTTTATGTGGGTTTTTCCAAAGTTTTCCTTCAAACTTTGTATGATATGTCACTCAACTTCTTTCCAGTTCTTGTGTCTTAAATATGGCAGAGTTTTGTGTTTAATGACCAAAAGGGAAGGCGAAAGTAAGGACAAAATAATTCAGAGCTAAAAAAAAATATGCTAGCAGGTGATCGGTATTTGGAAATCAAGTCTTGAGAGAAAAGGAATCAATAAAAGAGTTTTAGCATCTGTCAAACTATCCTGATCCATGTTTTTTGATATACTGATCTAAGGAAACAGGAACATATTGTATTTTTTGTGATAGGTTGGATAAATCTTAAGATCGCTCCCCTTGCAATTGAAATATTATTTAAAAATTAGTGATAACAGCTTTTTCACAGTTTATATGCAACTCGGACATAAATAGATGATAGCAATTATTGAAAATGCTTACCAACCTGTGATTTAGTTATAAAAATGAGTTTATTGAAATATTTACATAACAGAAGTGGATTTCAGTTAAAAAAAACCTATTGGTCTTAGACAAACATCAGCCATCAGACACAGACAAACACAGTTTTTTTTTTTCTTTTACTCATTCATACATATTCTCCACAGTCTGAGATGATCACTTTCTGTTTTGGCTTGCCATCCTTCGTTCCCTGAGCCTGGAGGAATAAAGCAAAGTCAGGTTACATTAAAATCCGCCTTATTTTTAAAAGACAACCAACTCCTTAAAAGCATGATTATTTCAGTGAAATAAGCAGATTGTGGCTTGATTTCTTACCTCCATTGCACGCAGCACATCCATCCCCTCCACCAGATCTCCGAACACAACATGTTTCCCATCCAGCCAGTCCGTTTTGTCTGTGGTGATGAAGAACTGAGAGCCGTTTGTGTTTGGCCCAGAGTTGGCCATGGAGAGCTGCCCTGTGTGAGCGAGCACGCAACTTTAGCCAAACGTTGTCAGGATCAGAAAACAACAATCCGCTTACTGCTAGATTCCTTACCTGGAGCTGTGTGCTTGAGGACAAAGTTCTCGTCATCAAACTTTCTGCCGAAGATGGACTTCCCGCCGGTGCCGTTGTGGTTGGTGAAGTCTCCTCCTTGGCACATGAACTGAGGGATAATGCGATGGAAGCTGCTGCCTTTGTAGCCAAACCCCTTTTCATGTGTGCACAAGCAGCGGAAGTTCTCTATTGAATTTAAAAACAGTGTAAAGTTTTAGATAAACATTATGTTAAATCTGTAGTTTCATTTTAAAGCTGTAGAAAACTGGTTTGCGTCCCCCCCCCCCAACGCCCCCCTATTTCTTTGATGCATCTGAGGGATTTCCAGCAGGTTTGAGTCATATTTCACATGTTGCTGCTGGAATTTGTAGGAATCTAAAAGCTCACCTTCATCCTGACGTTTGGGCCTAAAATGTTGAGAGGGCAACACTAACTGCACATTACTGTGAAATGTAAGATCATTTTATTTATATAGCACATTTCCAGCAACAAGACAATTCAAAGTGCTTTGCATGACTAGTGCATGAGTAGTTTCTCTAGATGAGTTTCTCTGGATTCTAAGTTTGTTCCAATTCCTGAAGTATATAAACTAAATGTCCCTATTCTGTGAATAGTTTCTCTGGAAACCACTGCAGATGAGATGCTAAAAAGCTTCTTATTTTGTCTTTTTGCTTTGTGTCAATTAGAAACTTAAAAAAAATAAATAAAAACAAACCTACACCACATAATCCCACCACACAGAAAAAAAAAACAGGACATCTGTTGGCTAAGCGAGAAAGAATGTTCATCCTTACAGATCTGTCAATCCTACAACAACATGTTTAAGGAGTTTGTACAGACCTACTGTCATCGGAACGATGTCGGCCCGGAGGAGGAAGCGCAGTCTCCCTGCTGGCTTGTTGCCAATCTTTATATCCATGTAGACCTGTGGATTCACTCTGCCCTTCTTAGCTGGAGGCTCACCCTGCAAAATAATAAATTAAATTATTAAATTCCAGTTAATTTTGAATAAAAAAAAAAAGCCAAAAGCACTGCATCTTCACTTTGAAACAACCTGCCAAGCTGAGCTTGAATGAGCTGAATTCTTCACAAAAGCACATTCAGCAGCGAAGGCGGTGACCAACAAAGAAACCCACTTATCAGACATGTAAACTAACTATTAAGATAAGGAAATGCCTCTTACTTCCTGTGTTGCGGTGGCTGCTTCTCCAGATGCTGCCTCTGCTTCAGCTTCCTCCACCGTTTTCCCTGAGAACTTCTTCAGCCAGTCGTCATCCGACCACACTAGTGGGAGGGGGGAAAAGAATTACAGAATGAAGTAAAAAAAATTTTTTAAAGTCCCGAGTGGAGTATAGTTTTCATTACCAGGTCGAGAAGAACCCTCTTTGATTCTCATTGGCTTTGCAATGTTGACACGGATGGTCCGTCCAAAAAGCTCAGACTCATTCTGATTAGCAAAAAGCAGAGAAGAAGCACGTCAGCTACAACTCTCAAGGCCACCAGAGAGTAATAGCACACTTTTACCTCTTACCATGTTATCGATAGCTGCGGCTGCATCCTGCACAAGAAAAAAATACCCATCAGTCACCTTATAGAGACACGCGCTTTAAACTGCTACATTTCCATTCCTTCACACACCTCTCCCAGCTCAAACTCAATGAATGCAAATCCTCTGTGCTTTTCTGAAAATTCCACACAACACACAGTAATTAGGCCTGGATCCACCGGCATTTTTAGTAAATGTAACAGTAAGTGTGAGGGTTTACCTGTTTCATAGTCTAGTGGTATCTGGATGTCTATGATGTCTCCAAAGGGAATAAAAGCTGCATGCAACACCTTTTCATCCACCTCCTCAGCCAAGCCACCTCAGAGAAGACACACAATACACTCAGCTTATACACAATAACAATATGCTATTTTTATTGTGTATCTTAGATGTTTGCCAAGATTCAGAGGCGAATCTTTAGTCTTTACATCATAACTAGTTAGTTAATAGTACTACATTAAAGTTAGGAGATATTAAAAGGTTGCAGCATTTGGTAGATTAGTGCACATTTTCTCTGTCTACATGTCTACTAAAGGTACAAACACCGTCTTTGCGCTCTCTTATAACTTTCATGAACACAATTATAAGTGGAGAAGAATAATATTCCTAAAACACATAAACCATAAATCATGTAATTCACTTTTAAAGTAAAAAATTCTAAAAGACTCACCGACATACAGAACTCGTTTGTTGGCCGCCATATTAGACGTAACCTTTCAACTATGACTGCTTCCGCTGATTGGTGGGCTGAAACATATGGGCTGAAAAGTAAAGACCGCCTCCAGGATATGCTTGGCTACAGCGCCTCTCAGTGGTCATCCCTGGAACTACTACTCACGTTTATTATCTTTTTTCAGTTTGATCGATCCTTCAAAGTTGAAGCTAAAGATTATTTTTATTATTAAAGACTACTAATAAAATTTGTTTGCATATAAAGATAGTGTACTTCTTTGTGCAAAAGCGGAAACATTAAGTCCCTCTTAATTAATCTCCACTGCGTAAATTGTTTGCAATACTTGTTTTGCTTAAATTATTCTCCTGTTTTTCTTTGTCTCCTCTAAGTAAATTAAATTTTAAATTATTTACACAACAATATTTCTTTTATGATCACTTTCACTATCATTTTGTCAATACTTCAGCATAATATTAAAGTAATAAAATAACTGGTTATTCTGACTTTTATAATCATATGGCCACTATCATATTACATTTAATTAAATTGCAAATACGTTTTTTTTTCGTACAACATTATGATGATTAATAAACAACGTATTTATTTTTAAATTACTATTTTCCTGAAAATATTAACTTAAAAGTGTAAGCTAACTAGCACAGTAAAATACACACTACATTAGAATATGTTTCTTTGTAAGTATGAAAGACATTTTTAAAAATCTCTGAAACTCTTAAAAACAAGTCTTAGACAGAAGACCTATAATGATAATTCATTAATAGCATTCCTATTAATGCTATTAATGTAGCATTAATAGAAGTATTAATGCTACATTTCTTTATGACCATATTTAAACTTTTAAAAATTTGAAAAATGAAAGGTCTTGAACATTGATAAACACTAAGACATTGAAGGTTTTATTTATTTGTTTATAGTTTATAGTTACAGTAATTATAGTTTATAATTACAGTAATTATTTGTGTTGCTCCAAAAAAATTTAAATCTGTAATTTGCAAAAATTACCTTCTCTTGTAAAGAAATTCCAACCACTTATCAGCACCTAAACCTGTCACAGCAGCACATCCTATTCAATATGAGAAATGATCCTCGACTTTATTCCCATTCAAAATACCTGAAGTCAAACTTGACTCAATAAAACACCGAGAGACTTATGTTTGTTTATCATCCCTTTATTGATAATTCCACACGCCCATGATAACATGAGATGGCTAAGAAGCCGATCATTTTAAAATCAAAGTGAAGCCTTCAAGCAAAAATAAAGAACAAGATTCATGTTGGTTTTGGAAAAAGGTTTCTGGCCTTTTCTGATAAAATGTGTCCTGTGTTCACGACTCTTTCACATCAAAGTAGTGTGTAGTTTAAAAGTGTGTTGCAACTAGAAACTGAATTCTCTTGAGTGGGTTTTAAGAAAAAAAATAAGATTTTTCTCTTAATTGTATTTTTATTTTTTCCTGATATTTTTGCATAAGTTATTGAAGGTACTGTAGTGTATCTGTCCATCCTGACTTTGATTTCTCAGTCCTGGAACAACACAATGAACTCATTAGTACCACAATTTAATTCATTTGAAATGATCAAATATGATTAGTTTTACTGTTTTTCATACCAAGTTAATACAGAATCCGGTTTTTAGGATGTAGCAGCAGCAGTAGTCGTCATGCCACCTACTTTCTGAGTAGCATCCTTCTTTGCTTGATGGGCCTGCAGCACTGCAACAGCTTCCTCCACCTGAACCAATCAAACAGGAAAGAAACAGTTCAGTGACTTCATGGGGGAACATTCTTTGTTCCAGGCAGGATTAATAAGGTACCTTTGAACGGAGAGACTCGTGCGACTCCAGCATGTGCAGCAGCTCCGAGTTGTCGATTTCCAGCAGCATGCCAGTGATCTTTCCCGCCAGGTTGGCATGCATGGCCTGAATCAGCGGGAACAAGCGCTCCCCTGTTTTAAAACGATAACAAATTAGTCGAAAGAAAGTCAAAAGTCGGTACAGTTTGTTCGCAGCAGAACAGGGTCATACCTAGCATCTGTTTCTGTTCCTGAGGCGGCGCAGCAGCCAGCATGGAGGCCGTGAGCGGCTCCTGGCCCTGAACATGCACAGCTGGCTGAGTCTATAAACGGGATGGATGAGGTATTTCAGAAAAGAGTGTTTATAGATATGCATGCTTATTCTGAAAGGGAGCTAAAAAATAATACCTGCTGTACGACAATAGGTTGCACCACTTGGGGATTGGGGTTACGGACACTGGTGGCATATTTGTAAGGAGGCATGGCCCTGGGGCCAGGAACTCCCATCGACTGACGAGGACCCATGGTCTGACCGGCACCTAACAGGAGAGAGATAAAATAAAGACGAAAAAGTGCAAATTTAAATAGCAGACACACTGATAAGGGTCACTTTTGATAGCAAAGCAGACCTCGTGGGCCCTGTGCACCGCTGCTGGGAGTCATGTGTCTGAGATTGGACCGGGGTCCAGGCTGGCGCAGCGAGTTAGGCATTCCTTGGAAACCGCCTGGGATCAACACAAGCAGAGGTGGAAAAGGCAAAGTATTTCTACACTATGTTGAATGTTTACTTGGATGTTACAGAGGCACTACATGCTCACCTTGACCTCTACCACCTTGCTGCTGCCACCGTGGGTTGGGCCGCATCTGAGCCAGCTGGTTCGGTGCATAGTATGTGGTCCTGTTCTGGGCCTAATAGGGGCAAGAAGGGAATTAAGGCAGCAGTTGTTGGGGGTACATCTCTACCGGGTTATTGCACCTCAATACTGAAAAGTTAGCCAATTCCTGTAGTAAAGAAGCTTAGTCATATCTGTGAACATGAACTGTCAACTCTTGAAATTGATTTTCAGGTGGATTAATGTGGATTTGACTGGTTTATTCTAACACACAGACATCCTCTGATCTAAGCATGTTTGTGCATGTTGGGTTGTTATCCTACTAGAATGTAATCTTCCTTCCCAGTCTCAAGTCTTTAGCAATGTCAAAGATATTGTCTTCCAGTCTTGCCCTGTATTTAACTCCATCCATCCAGCTCTTAAATCCGACCAGCTTTCCTGTCCCTGCGCAACAATAAACATCCCAACAGCTTTGTACTCCTGCCTCCATATTTCTCTTTGGGGACGGTGCGTTCAGGGTGATGTGCAATGTTATTATTATATATATTTTTTAAAATTATATTTAGGCATTATCTAGCTAAAGAATTTTCTTGCTCTATGCACATGTTGTGTCTTCTTTCACCAGTGGCAGACGGCAAACAGGAGTTTTTAATACTTTTTTCCTTTGAGAAAAACTCTTCTATAAAGGCAAAAATTACTTCTTCTGGTCAAACGGGACATGTCTCACTATTTTTGCTGCAAAGACATCCAACTTTAATTTGCATTCTAATGCAATGCTTAGCAAAAAAAAAAAAGGAAACATGTAGGCAATTTACATATTTAACCAGAATACATGCAAAAAAAACAACTATTATGAAACTTTTAATTGTTGACGGATTTTCTAAAGTAGTACTACAATTTTTCCTTACATCAAATCGGCTCATTCTCCTTTAATTTATGAGTTGGTCAGTTTATCAATTCAGAAAGTGATTCCCTCACCTGGGGCACGGCGGGCATGAAGTACCCACTTGTGGGCTGGAACTGATTGATGATGGCGTTAGCCGGCATGGCCCTCATGCCAGCAATGCGCTGCATGTACTGGTTGGTGAGGTGAGCTTTGCGCTCCTCTTTGCGCTGAGCAAGAGCGACGTACAGAGGTTTAGAGCCAACGATACGTCCGTTCATCTCTGTCACAGCCTTGGTGGCCTCCTCGGGAGAAGAGAAGCAGACGAAGCCGAAGCCCTTTGAACGGCCTTCTTCTAACATCACCTAACGAATAAACAAAGGTTCTAAACACACATGCACAATCACAGTGCAATGCAGATTCGTTTTTAATCTGTTTAGATTTTTTCTTTTATTTTTTTATCACCTTCGCACTTGTAATGGAGCCAAATGGAGAAAACTCCTTACGCAATTTTTCATCATCGATTGTGTCGTCAAGGTTCTTGATGTAAAGATTGACTCCCTGATGAAAGAAGTTCCCATTTCAGTTTCAGATATTTGAATGTAAAGTCAGTAAAAGCAACATGGGCATTATTAATTTACCTGATACCGACTGATTCGTTCTTGTTTGAGCTGCTCAAACTTCCTCTTCAGCTCCGCCTGCCGCTCCATCTTCTTCTGAGCTCTGCCTACAAAGACGGTCTTACCATTCAGCTCGGTGCCATTCATTTCCTCCACAGCCTTTTGGATGAACAGACATTTGTGTGAGAACATTTCCAAAATCAAGCATAGCCTCTACGGATCCCTGGTAAATTTAAAAATACCTTGTTAGCATCCTCGTGTTTCTCGAAGCTAACAAACCCAAAACCCCTAGATTTTCCCGAGGAGTCTGCCATCACCTTCACACTCAGGGTTTTACCTGCAAATGTGGAAAAGAGGTGGTAAAAATAATTTTATTGTCTTTTTGTGGCATATAGCATGATGTGCAACATAAAGTAGCACACAGTGAGGAAACATCTGGCATTCGTATTTTAATTTTTGCAAACTGTCTGAAAATGTGGTGTGCATCTGTTTTACAGCCCTCTGATCCAGAACATTTTAACCCCACCTTTTTGTGTAATAACATACCTCTTCCACAAAGACTGGATTTGTAAAGTGCACAACTAATAGTTTTCCTGTCAACAGATTCTCCCACCTTTACTTGAAAATAAAATGAACCATCCTCCTTCCATTTCATAGCCGTATCACTTCGTCTTGGTTTATCATGTTTAATCTCAGTAGAATACATGGACATGTTTGGGTGTAACCTGACAACAGTTAATATAAAACAGCTTGCAGAGCGCTTGTACATGTCAATTTACCGTATTTTTCAAAAAGTTCCTTCAGTCGTTCGTCGTCCATGTCATCACCAAAGTTCTTGATGTAAACATTGGTAAACTCCTTGGCTTTGGCACCGAGTTCAGCCTCCCGTTCTTTTCGAGATTTAAAACGACCCACAAACCTGAACGAGCAGCATGAGAAGCCAAACACACTTTTGTAAAATAGTCTCAACAATCCTGAGATACACACCAGGCCCCGTCTTTTATTCACATAAACACGGACAACATCCATTGGACAAACTGAAACCAAGATTTTATTGTGTGACTCTTCATTCTCAGGGTTGACTGTGGAAAAAAAAGAAAGAAAAGAAAACACATCCAGCATCCAAAGGCAAGCATAAATGATGGCATGCTAGACATAACCATGTCAAGGTCTTGGTCCGAAACGTGATGAGGAGGTGGATGGAGAGAGCTTTAGGAAAACTCTCACAAGTTTAAAGGCAAATCAGATGCAGACTAAACGATCTTATCTACCTGGTTATGAGGACCTCTCCCCTTCTGCCATCCTGTATTGCATATCTGCATTCGATCCATCACTAAAACACACGAGCACTGTCACATAGACACACACACACACACTCACACACTCTAAGACGAATGACCAGCAAGTGGACAATAAGGGAACCAAGAACATCTCTGGTGGGAAAGAGCTTTGAGTTGGTTATTTCTAAGTTTGGCGCGGAATAAATGATGAGTATATTAGTCAATATATTTTCACACAAACTCACCAACTCAAACAACAACAACAAAAAAAGCATAGCAGGTCAGTTCACTCATGTTTAGAAATACAGGAATAAAAAACAATGCCCTGCAAATGCATTCATAACCACTGAACATTTCCATATTTTGTTAGGCAACAAACTCAAACTTCAATGGATCTCACTGGGATTTACACCAACAGAATATGGTGCGAAGCTACACTGTGAGAAGAAAATGAGCTTATCTCAATTATGTTTTTGTTCTTATTTTCTTTACAAGCAATAATGTAAAACAAAAAATTGTCATGAATTTATATTCATCATGGGACTGCCATCACTGCCAGTGGTGAAGTGTACTTAGATAAGAAAGGAAAGAGCTGTAATTGTTGAGGAAGCGTCTATCCTTTAGGGTTTGCTGCAAGATGCTGCAGCTCTTCTATAAGTCAGCTGTGGAGAATACAATCTGTTCTACCATCAGCATCAGAGTTAGAGACTCAAAGAAGCTCAGAAAACTGAAAAAGAAGGCTAAGTTGTTTTTGGGAAATGCTCAGGGGCCTCTAGAAAGAGCTGCACAGAGGATGGTGCTTTGTAAAAGAAACAACATAATGAATAACATGGAGTACCCATAATAAGCCTTGCAGTCCAAAAATCTGACCTTTATGGAGGAGTTGTGTGAAAAACATTATTTCCGAAAAAAGAAAATATAAGAAGTCCCATTTGCAGTTTGCCAAAAGCCACAAACATGTGAAAGAAGATACTCTGGTTTTTGATATACATGCAAAGTGCTATGTGTGGTGGAAATCTAACACCTCACGTCATCCAGAACACCAAAAGTATGTAGTGGCAGCATCGTGTTGTGGCATGTTGCTTTTATTTAGCAGGAGTCCATGAGATGGATGAACGATTGGAGCTAAATACAAGGCAGTCTTGGAGGAAAGCTTGCTAAAGGCTCATAAAGACATAAAGATGGGGTGGAGATTCACCACAAGGCAGGACAACAATCCTAAACACTGAGCTGCAGCAATAGTCTGGCTGAGATCAAAGCGTATTCATTTGTTTGATTGGACCAGTCAAATTCCAGATCTTACTCTAATTGAGAATTAGAATCCTGCAATCCATGTGAAGACATTTCCAAAAACACCTGCAGCTCTGCAGCTCAGGTGAGGTTAATGCACATACTATTACATGTTTCAGACTTTCATCTGTAAATAAAAATTAGAAAACCATGTATTATTTGCTTTATGTTAGTGGATCACAAGCAATCTGAATAACGGACTTTGAAGTTTGAGTTTGATTCAGCATGATAAATGCAATAAAGTTCAATGTCTGTGAACTTCTGCAAGGCAAAGTGAATAACAGTCTCCACATAACATCAACGCAAACAAAACTTTTGACACCTGGACCTCTAATTAGGGTTGATAACATGTATAATTCACTTAGACAAACTCACGGTAATGGTTTAAAAAAATTAAAGGGAATATACTTAAAGAGAATGATCAGACACTCACACCTTGCGGTCATTCAGAAGCATGCCGTTCATCTTGTCAATGGCGCGATCTGCTGCGTCCTGCGTCTCGAAGTGGACAAACGCGTAGCCCTTTGATCCGTTTTCATCACACACCACCTTGGAAAGGCGGACAGGGGTATAATGTCTTCAGGAACGCAGACAGCTCTCAAGCTTTAAAGCACAGACTGAAGAATTTGGAAGGATAATTGTGTGAGATGCTTTAGCACTACTTTGCAAAGCTACAGTCAATTAGCACTAAGAGGAGTGCTAGTGAACAGTAAGCATGGCGTTTTACAATTTACATATACTGTGGCCACTTTGTAAAAATCAAAGTCTTTATGTGCAGGCTTGGAGGTTTTATGAGTGCTCTCATTTGCAGTCTTTATTTTTTTTAGACTCTCTATTAGTCCTTCTGTCTTGGACTCTTTTTGTTTTGCTACAGTATAACCTTAATGTAACAATTTTTACTTTGTGTCCATACTTCCCCATTATGTGACACCAGTTATATTTGACATGCTGCTTTTTCACTGAGCTTACAGAAAAATATTTTTCTTAAATTAGATTTCCATGTTCTTTGTTTCAAATTCCCTTTCGGAAAGATGTAGTTTGTTCCAACTTCTCTAGTTGATGCTAAGAAAAATATTATAAAATATTATTAAACAAATAACCAGAGATCTAAATAGCCAATAGATTAAATTTAGAGAAGAGCACAAGTGAAGGATGACAAATGTTTCCAGACTCGTACGAAGTTCTGGATGTAGATGGCATTGCAGGTCTTTCGTTCTCCACTTTACCTCTTCACTTATTTTTTAAGTATCCAATTGTCTACATTGCGTAAACCCAACACTGATTGACTTAATCCGAATACAGATAATAAATAAATATTTACTTTTATAAAGACTCTACCTTGCATGATAAGATGTTGCCAAAGGCAGAGAAGGTGTCGTACAGGGCTTTGTTGTCGATGGACTTGTCAAGGTTCTTGATGAAAACATTGCCCACGCCGGACTTTCTGAGGGAGGGATCTCTCTGCGACCACATGATCCTGATTGGCTTCCCTTTCACCACGTCAAAGTTCATGGTGTCTAGGGCTCTCTCCGCTAGAAAGAAGTGAAGGGAAAGGTCAAGTTTTACTACTTTTTACTTGGACGTTTACTCAGAAAACATACTGGAACATTCTGGAACTGAACAATTTGTTTTTGTCCCATACTCTTTCCATTTCCAGACAATACTTGAAACATTTTTCCATCAATTGTCTAAAGCTTAGCAAGTTGCATCTAACCAAGCTTTTAATATCTTCACAACATTATCCCAGACTTGTCTGATCTCTTCTTTGGTCTTCAAGACTCTCTCTAACAAACCTCTTCAAAGAAAAAATTGTAGTTTGAGACTGAAAACATGTGAAAACCTGCAAAGGTTCACGGGTTGTGAGTACTTTTGGAAGGCACAGTATGGACAATATGAACTGAATGTACCGCTTCTATTGTACCAGTGATTTGGTGCAACAATAATCATAAAGTTATAATTTAAAAACATTTTGAATGTCTTTCTTTCACTGCGGAGAATCCCGGCTGCAAGCCTGCTGAAAACGCGCATGCTAAAGACACAGCAGTGAAGCATGCGCCTCATGAGTTATCTGCCAGCAGCTGGGACGAGTGTGGGGCAGCTGCAGTCGGAAAGCTCGCAGCACATGTCTTTCGTTTTGGACAAACCACATGCCTTGAAGTCAAATCAAGACTTTCGGCTCATATAGTTATGAACAAATATGTTTCCATTTAGACTTTTCTTAGCGTAGTCGTCGACCATTGCTCTGTCCGCCCAGCAACATCAATCTGTAGCTATCTTTTGCTTCACCTCCCATGTCAATGTGGGCTCCCGTGCTAAACATCCCCTTTTGTTCAGGAGCTACACACACCCACACACATACACACACACACATGCATACACACACACAGGGGCTCTCCAGCTGAAAGTGTCTGGTAAACAAAACGGAGCTCCCTTGCGTCTGCTGGCATCAGCAGTTTGGCTCACAATTGTACTTCCCAGCCAGTGTGCTCACAGAAGGTGGCATCACAGGCACTTCTGGAAGATTCTGAATGGAAATCGGTAGACCAAGAGCTGCCCCCTAAAACGGCTAACGTGTTAACTTAGTCAGTCAGTAGGTGTAATAATCAACGTTGTCTTTAATAACCAGTAACTGTTTGTCTCAAGTGTTATACGGCAGGCACACTTTGGGCTGCTCAGATGTAAGAGCTATATTTAGGGAGGGGTCCTGTGTGGCATGTGTGCTGGCATGGAGTGGGAATAGAGCGTTAGGCGTCGCCATTGATGGGGAAGAGAAACATTCAACAACACTTCTCAGATGAGAAACGTCACAAGTGAGAAAAACAAAAAACAACAAAAAAAAAAACAGACTACTACTACTACTTTTTTTGATTGCAAATATTCTCCTAAATCAACTGGTTCTGAGCAGGAATATCAACCCGTTGTTCATATTCACACAAACAAATCCTGAAATCTATTTACACACCCAGCAGACACAACCTGGAGCATAACTCATTCGGGGCTTGCTCACTGCCAAGCACCTTCCAGGAAACAAGTCTGTCGTCATCCATCTCTGGTGGGCTCGAGTCACAAACTCAAGCGTGGATAAGCTGTCACAGGTGTTTTGTGTTGGTACAACAGGAGAAAAGTTCACACAATGTAGACAGTGTCACCAAGACCCCAACGGCAACCACAACACCTGCTACCTTTCCTCTCTGTGTCTGATACAATCTAATCCTATAGAGTGTGAAAACATTTGCCGATACAGTTGCTTATACAGACAATTTTACTTACCTCCTCAAATCATAAAATGCTAAACTTATTGTAAAGTTTTTTTTTATTTTATTTATTTATGTCAATTTGGGGATACCAATACTCCAGTGGCACCACAAAAAGAGAGGGGCGGTTGTCACGGCCAGGCAGTATTATATAAAATTTTTTTTTTTACTTTCTAGCAGAGTCAATGTTTCAGTAAGTTACAATAATTATGTATGTATCTATGCATGTATGTATGTATTTATATCTTTTTGTATTTATTTATTCCTAAAGTGTGACCATTGTGATTATTTATCACATGGTTTGAATCCTGACACCACCACCACCACAAACACTCTTAATGTATAAATCATAAAACGCCTGAAATTAACTCCTGTTTTTGGGTTTTGGTGTGCTATGCTAACATTACCCCACCCTGCCTCCTACCACTTGTCCATATTTTTGAGACCGTGTTACTTTTTTTGCCCCAATATTCAGAGAAGAAGCTGCATCATACTTTCTCACTAAAAAAAATAATGTTCCTAAAATCGACATGCTCAATAATTAACTGTGAACAAGAAATGTCATCTTGAAAACACGCAGTCTCTTTATTTTCTTAACCTCAAAAGTGTTTGAGTAATTATCCGTCTCCTAATTGAGATTTTTCTATAATTTATTATCCATTGATGTTGTACTATTAATTAATTAATTAATTAATTAATTAATTCTAAACCAAATTTCCTGAATAATCATCACAAAATCTTCATCACATAACAGTGCATGTTTTTCAGGACTTAGGAGGTATTTGGAAATTTTGAATTTCTAAAAGTTAGCATGTACTTTCTGGACATTTCAAACACATAATATCTATGTTTTAGGATCACACCTGGTAAGTTTAGAGAAAGTAAATGCCAGTTTGTGAGTTCCAGAAAGTAAATGTCACATTTCAGGAAAGCACCAGGCATACCTCTGAATACTGAGAAGTACCAGGTAGGTTGCTTGTAAATGCAATCTATTATAACTTTACAATGCACCCATTATAGGGTTCATACTTTATAAAGTATGAACTTTGTAAAGATCATACTATATATATAATACTGTAGTGCCATCAAGCCTCTTTGATTTTATCCAAACAGAATAAACAATCTCTACAATAAAAGGCAAGTCGACAGATTCAAAGGAGAGAGGGAGGTTCTGCTGTGCTTGTAGCTTTTTCTGCCTGCTAAGAGAAGATGTCTATTTAAATAGCTAATTGCTTGGTGTAAAGATAATGTCCCTTTTTGCCAGCTTTTAAGAATAATTACATGAAAATTTTTTTATTGGGTTATTTTACAAAAACCAGCAATGCAAGAAATGAACTTGAGGCGAAAGCCCCAATTAAGAGTGCAGCAAATTACCTTTAAATTAAAAAATAAATTATTTACATTCATTATGAGCTTCAAGTGGAAAACATGCCGAAGTTTTTTTTTTTTTTGTTTTTTTTTTGCGTTTTTCAAGCCATGCTCACACTGCACTGAGTTGCTTCAAGTCACTCCTTACCGTCAGCGGGCTGCGAGAAGTTCACATAAGCATATCCGAGGGAGCGCCGGGTGATCATGTCTCTGCAGACCCGAATGGAGAGCACCGGTCCGGCGGGGCTGAACTTCTCGTACAGCATAGCCTCCGTTATGTCTGGGTGCAGGTCGCCAACGTAGAGAGAAGCCATCGGATAACTCCCCGTCGCAGTGTTCATTTCTTAGAGCTTCCCCGAATACAAATATATACGCAATTAGTGAAATTGTCCCGAAACAGTAAACAACCCGGTTCTTAATCGTACCTCAGTTTCCCCCGATTATTATAAGAGCTTCCGCAAATCCAGCTTCTTAGAATAAACCTCGAGAACTTCTTTAAAATCCCACCTCTGTTTGTATATATATTTTTTTTAATTTTGCTATTTTTTTTAAAAGGTTTGTGTTTAAGTATTTCTACGTTTGTTTTTATTTAGATTTTGTAGATTTTATATTTTTTTATGCGTTTTTATTTTAAGTTTTTTTTTTTTCCTATAACGGTGAGTTGGACACTCACGGTCGTTTTGCGGCCGGGGAAAGAGACTGCGTGAGGAAAGCATGGACACTTTATAGAGAGTAGCGGTGCGGAGGAAATAGTGGTCAGGGTCAAACCTGGGATAGGAAAAACACACAGAGCATGCGTAGTAAAAGGGAGAGTGCACAGTGTAACTGCCCCAACAGAGTCCAGCTCCCCACAGCGACGCCTGGGTTGGAATACAAACAAAAACTTTATAAAGGGAAGAGTTCATTCTACATGCGTCATAAATAAGAATGCATGAATGAATATACGGGAAATAACATAAAATGCTCCGTTTCATACCTCAGGCTATCTAAAATTTCAGTAATTCAAATACAGAAACTTGTCACATATTTGAAGAGTTTATTTTTCACAGTGGCATTCCAATATTCTAGATGCAAATAGATTACATACACTTTGCATTCAATTCCTTTTGCATGACTTACAATGCAGGGCATTGTGGTTAGTGAGCAGAATGTGACGGAGGTAGTTTTGGACTTCAGCTGCATTTTCTTAACACCCTACAGGTTTTCCGTGGAGCTTTGATTAGGTGCTGGAAAGCAAGCAGCATGCATCAATACTTTGACCATTTGAAACAAGAGTTTCAGTGCAAATCGTGCAGCACTCTGCCAATCTGCTGCTTGTGCACGAACTAAATACAACCAGCATTTTTGGCAGTTGTCCTCCCTCATGAAAGCCATGAGAAATTACTCTCAAATTTGACTTAATGAAATTCCACAGCAGGAGGGGGTTCTGTATGCGGTGTTAGTCATTTTAACGTGAAGTACATGGGTCTTTCACAAAACCTATAAACTGTGCTGATCTGAGTGCGTCAATGAAGTTACACAATTTCCTACATTTAGAGTTTACAATGAAAAATAAATGCATAGGTGTGGTCTCATTTACTATGCTTTTAGACTATTGATCTGTCCCAACAGGCCAAATTTGTCAACATTTGGAACTATGCTCATTAGCCACGGGAATCTTTACAATCCCATTTTTCCCCTCATTCTGCACAAATAGGTTCCAAGCTTGCACCTGTGAAAATCCATAATTTATCAGAAACCCCTAAATTATGCATCACAACCAAGAGTAAATGTTGCAGAATGTTTGTGTTACAATCTGTCTTCTTCGTCATTCTCCTGAAAACAAAAGTAACTTAATTTATTGAATGAATGTTAATAGTGCCATTTAAGTTAACTTAATACCTCAACAAATCCAGAAATGTTGACATTTATCTCAGATGGAAGAGATAAATCGGACCGGGTAAACATATCAGAAATCCCAGATCTTCCATATCTACTTTTCCTCTGAAATTTCTTGGCAATGATTTCATTTTCTTGAGGAATCTGTCATCCATCAACCAGGGTTAGCAGCTTCATGTCCCACTGTGAAGAATCACCTTTGTCGCTTACTGAGTGAGTGATTTCATTTGTGGGTAGAGTCAGAGAATTTCCCTCTATGGTTGAAACTTCCTGCAATGAATGACCATCTTGACCTGGTAAAGCAGACCAAGAAAAGAGGTTACCTTGCACTTCTCCGGGTAGCCAGGTAGCCAGAGTGTTAGTTTGGATGTTGGCGCCTGGCGCACCACAATAACGCCCTGCGGGGAAGACTGAAGCTCAGCTTGTGTCAGAGAAGCAGCAGCACCAAGAAAGTTTTCTCCAGGACCAGGAGTGGCAGCCATCATGGTGGTAGGTAAAGAGGAGCCAGACGCATCACGTGGTTTAGAGTCTGGAAGTACAGGACTTGACTCCCAGTCCTCCACAATGACCAGAGGGCCAATGTTGATGACTCCTTTAGCGTCTGAGTTGATGAGCACAAAGTTATGGCAAGCGGTTACAACTCAACAGCCTCAGGTTTCAAGAAACTCACCATTAGGAAAGTTCTTGACTGATGGGCCTCTACACTTTGAGCAACAGCAGGCACAGACATCTGCGTCACCATTTACTTCCTCCCATCTGAAAACAGATCATACGTCACATTAGTTTAAACATTATGTTCAATTAGCATCTGCACTTACCTCGACCTGTGTGCATTGTAGTTGCAGGATTTAGATGCAGAGCCGACTCCCTAATCTGACAGGATCACACTACAGTGAACATACAGCTGAAAGCGGAGAAGGAAAAAAAAATGTCTAGAGGTAAGCTGAACACCGTATTAGCAAATTCAGTTTTCCCAAACCATACCTCAGCAATGAGATAAGATGTATTCAACATGAAATTAACCACATCAGCTCTGCTGGAGGCCATAAACTGAGCGACATTGTGTGGAGAACCCAGTGCACACCTGCCAAGGAATAACATTTCAAAATGTGAACCATCTTATAACAGAGGGAGGTAAAGAAATTTAACTGGGGTTTTACAGTCAACAGGTCACTCAAACAGTCCGCCTGTCAGTGCCAATGCAGGCTTTGGCCATCTAGTGTTTCCAGAGTGTGAATTACAGGATTAAAGACAAAAGGTAACATGGAGAGTTACGGGCTTAGCCAGCAAATGTCACCCTAGTTTGCAAACATTTATGCAAACACAGTTTACATAAATTTCACAACAGTATGGGACTCAAAAGCCAAAACCAGTTTCTCTAGACAATGAAACACGATGTTCAAGGTGTAAGGGTCTAACTAGATTTACAAGCCAGGCAGGAGATATTGACGGGAACTGGAAAAGTAGATTTATTGCAGGTGCAAAGTCAAGTCTGACATATTTAATTGTGTGGTTAAAAACACATATGTGCTTATATATAGCATATCGAGTATAGCTTACCCTTTGTTTAGAATGACTGAATGTCTCGGTCTAACCTGGGATTCAGGGGACGCTGAGACAAAGCAGGAATGGATGAACAGATGCTGGCCAGGTCTAGTTTCAGCAGAAACCTGCAATCTTACTAACAGGCCTCTTTTGTAGATGTTTGACTCTGTCGTTTGTGTCCAGGATGCTGCAGGAGACAAACATTTGCTTTGTTGTACTGAACCCATTGTAAGTGTCCTACTGGGCCAACAACTCTATGTGTACTCGGGTAAGCAGGACATTAGTAGAGTGGTGAAGCAGCAGACGCAGGTGTGGGCAAACAAGCCAATGAGACTCCAAGACTTCATTTTTCTTGCATAACTGTCCTGCAGGCATTGTTGTATATGCATCATTTATTTTGTAGCAGGGATCATTTAAATCTGGTCATTCTAATACAGTCTTCTCATATTATGCAATTACACTGATTTCTAATCAGTCTCAATATGAATGGGAAAACAGTTTGATTCAGAATATTAGTATTTGTAAAATATATAAACAAAAAAAATCTAACCAAAGAAATAAACTGATTTCATCAAACTTTTCATTCCTCATTCTGATCATACAAAATGTAGCTGTTTAAGACATTTTTAATCAGGAATAATCAGGAACCAACATTAAAAAGAGAAAACGTATAAACCACACATGACTATTACATGTGTTATGTGTTGTTTATATGTTTTCTCTTTTTAATGTTGGTTCAGATAGAAGTTATTCCTGATTAAAATGTCTTAAACAGCTACATTTTGTATGATCAGATTGAGGAATGAAAAGTTTGATGAAATCAGTTTATTTATTTGGTTAGACTTTTTTTTGTTTATAACACATATAATAGTTATGTGTGGGTTTTATTCTATTCTACGCTATAGAATAGAATGGAATCAAAAAGAATATAACGGAAAACTCCTTTATCCATGAGATACTATCTCATCTCATAATTATCTCATAGATATGCTATGCAAAGTCATTTTTACTTGTTTATATCACGTTAGCGGAAATAGGCTTCCACAATGAGATCACACATCAAACTGACAAAGTGTGACGTTGTACTGCTTAACAAGGTCTGTAAATATAGCGGCTCTTTGAACAGTTTCTTCTTGGTTACAAAAATGTGTAGAACCACTGATCCAGTTAAATGTTTTGTCTGTTCTTCTTATCTCTCCGCCCGCAGCTGCAGCATTGCTTAGCTGTTGTGGGCGGAGCCTCCGCTCAGGTAGGCGGTCGGGATCGCCTCTTTGTTTTCAGGTAAGTTTCAGTCACGGAAGTCTGAGATCCACTGTCCCAGAGCCGTGGAAAGCGCGTCGTCAGAAATGATTTTGCCACAACTTTCCTAATAGCAGCTGTGATCTGAAGGGACGTAGAAGCCACCATGGTTAACTCAGGTATGTGAGCGAAGCTGGTGAGTGAAATTCTTTGCAGGCCTCAGAGGATTCGGAGTGAAATGTTTAGGCGTGGTCTTTGCATTTGGAAACAGTTGAAACGGCTGAAATCCAAATCCTCCCTTTTTCTCCTTCGGTTCATGGCTTTTAACCCTAAACGTGTTAACTTTTAAAGCGCCACCTGTGTGAGAGTGAAGGTGTTCCTGCAGATGGAGGGAAGCTGTAATTTAATCTTTGCTGATTCTTTCGTCTGGTGCCTCTGCAACAAACATTTGGAGTGTCTGTGCTGGTTCCTTTTTCAGGCATCTTTGATTTCACAATTACATCACTTGAGTAATCGTCATTGTTGTTGTTTTTTTTTGCGTGTGTGTGTGAATTTATTATTTCAAAATTATTCATTAGGATTTGATAACATTTGTCTTTACTCTACATGACACCATGTTAGGGTTCTAGTTCAAGATTTTTATGTCTTTCCAATTGTCTTATTTTGTTCTGGTAAGGTACTGAGTTGTAAAGCACACACACACAGAAGAAGTGGTTTAAGATTTGTGTTATATCTATAAAGCTATTTATAAGTTAATATCAGATACAGGACACAATGACTAGCCTTCCATCAAACCACTGGCAGGCCAAATAAAATGCCATCCGTCACCTTATTTCTGCAGCTTTTCACAGAGAACATTGTTCATTCCATTAAATAACCAACCGATTATCAATCTAGCTACATCAGCTTTGAAGTAAAAGCTATGGATATTTACTGTTTTAGTGAGATGCCAAATATTATTATGACCCAAAAACATTGCTTGTATTTTCACAGCATTCACTCTCGAACGGAGAACCCGAGTATCTATCCAACACCAACTGACCCTTCAGGTCTTGTAAATGTGGTGGTGGGTGTTTGAATCCCCCACACCGGAGGCAGAGTGTTTTGTTCATGCTAACGATCTGGTTACATGCCATCCATCTGCAGTTGTTATGCATTTTCTTCTGTTGAAACTACAGAAACCTGCTAGTTTTGTTTCTTCTTCTGAATTTACTCGATAAGTATTCAAATATTGAATTTTATTATGTGCTAAAGATCGATTTGTTTTAAGGACTTTCAATTTTTTTTTACAAAACCAAACAGATAAAAGTTACTTCCGCTTCCTGCAGGAATATGCTGCACCAACCTCAAAGACAACAGGGCCCTGATGAAGATGGGGTTGACGCTGGTGCTGGTGGGCCACGTCATCTTTCTTCTGGGAGCCCTGGTCCACGGCGTCGTCCTCAGATACTTCATTGTGAAGATTAAGGTCCGGACTCTTATATTCGCTGTGTTTAACGTCACTGCCATCGTGGAAGGCCTGATTGTAAGTTGGTTTACACACGCTGAAGTTTTTTTGTTTTTTTTTTTGTCTTTTTTTCTTTGTTCTTTTGTTTTTGTCATTAAATCTTTTGCTGCTGGAAGTAAATTAGTGGTTTTCATATGTCAGGAATGATGTTTCTGCTTCCTTTCCTTCAGGGTATTATCAGCGGGATAGTTGCTATTGTCCTGTCTAAGAACAAGAAAAACAAGACCCTGGTAAATACTTTTCCACTCAGTTTCCCCCACCTTCTCCCACCTCCTTCAGCCCACAAATGTTACACACATGGACACAATTGTTGACACTCCTCTGTTAAAGCTGCAGTAGGTCACTTTTTACAATATGTCCTGCCACTATAATTTCAATACAGATAATCTGTGAACAAATGGAGCTCCTCTGCCTTCATGTAATTCTGCCATTTGCAGAAATACACCACTTGGTCAGAAACAACCAGAGGAGGAAGAGCTTCGCACTGCAAATCACATTCGTGTACGTGCTGCTTGCACCCCATCTCACTCTCTGCAGTGTCCTTCCCTAGAGTGGAGACTGCTATGAAGGCTAGTGAGCATGGCCATAGTGATGCTGGATTAAAGGTTTTCGTTTATCATTACGTTGCCTCTTTGTCATTATCTCAGCTGCAGCAAACCAAGTAGTGCATACACGAGCATGATTGGCAATGCTAAGACCTACCTCCCGTCTCTAATTGGTTGTTTCTTAATGGCGCATTTCTGCAAATGCTGGTAGGACCACAAGGAAGAGGCAGGAGAGCTTAATGTTTTTTTCACAATTACCTCTAAAAAAGGCAAAATATGATTTTCATTGGCTAAATTTATGTTTATATTTATTTCTTTTGTCAGTTTCAAGTTATTTCAGTAATTAGGGGGGGGTACCAAAAATCTTGTCTGTCTGCTCCTGTTAGAACCTGTATGTATTTGGAGGTACAAAAGTGGTTTAAAGATGAAAGTATTGGTACAACATGCTAATCTTTTACAGAACAAAAACTCATGTGTGCAGTCTCTTACATTGCCTTTAAATATGAAGATTTATGCCTTACAAATGCCCTTCCGTCTCTGTTCCTCTGGCAGATCTGGGTTCTGTTGGTCTTCAGCTTCCTGGCAGGTTTCCTAGGAATTGCTGCTGCCTTGGGATTGTCATATTCTTTAGTTAGAGCCGTCATCCTCAGGAAAGAGCGTGTGCTAAAGAATTTCTGCAAATTCTTTGATGAAACCCCCGACCCTGCGACCATCACAAACGAATGCCCCTTCGATCCGACTCGTATCTATGTAGGTACAATATTCATCCATGTTCGATCAGCAACCCTTTATATTAAGATGACATGGGTGTGTAAGAAATGTTGTTTTGTGTGTAAATTTAGGCAACCTGCATCATTCTTTGGATGCCCCTCATCATAATGTGCGTCGTGGAATCAGTGTTCACCTTTCGCTGCTTTGCTGCCTGCACTTCCTTCCTGTACCTTTGCCCGTGCAGGAAGAAGCCTGTCCAGGCAAGGAGGGTAAGGTCCTGTCAGGTGTTCTGCATTTAATGCAGAAATCTGTGTGAATGTAATAATACTGCTTATTTGATGCTGCATTAAAGACTCCAGATCTGTGCAGGATTGGCCTTTTTTCATTTTGACTTAGACTTACCTGCATAATTTCAAGCAATAATGTGTAAAGTTTTAGGTGCGTCTCTAATTCACTTTCTTTAGTGAAAGTGTTGCTATGTTTTATTTTCAATCTGAAAATAAAGAATCTGGAATAGAATGTGCATTGTTCCCTATACATTTTAGTAGAATTAAATTAAAATGAGGATTTGAGCTTTTCTTACTTTGTATTCCTGTAATTAAAGTACAAGAATCATTATTGTGTATTTCAGATGAACACACAATAACCATTTGCTGCCCTGTCATTTTTTTTTTCTCTAGCATATGTGAAAATTTAAATGAAGTTGTCAACTCATAAAAATAAGGAATTACTGAATCAGATCATTAATTCATGCAAATTTAACTTTTTTTTTTTCTTACACTTTCAGGTTAAAGTTAAGATTAGGGATGAAATCCCAATGCCGTTTCCAGAGGAAGGAGCCGAAGAGCCCCCTGCAGAGCAGGATGATCTGCTGCACGGCAGAAATATGCAGAATGACTGGGTTTAATCCAGCAAAATTGTTTTTCATCCAACTGAACAGGATGAAAAACTGAACAGAGAGACTCTGTTACAATTCAAATATTTTGATATATCTGGACTTGAGTAAGTTGAAGCAGTTGCATTTTACCATTTATGCCCCTTAGTGGCATTTGTCTTAATGATTTGATGGGATGCTGTTATGGTTCAAATGTGTTTTTTTTCTTTTATCATTTTTGTACCATTTTAAAATCTGCCTCATGTACCTTCAGTTTAAATGTCATTGTAAAAAGAAAACTCGCATTTCCTATTGTTTTAAAATAAGATTTTATTACAGTTGAAACCTCTGACAGGCTTTGTTCAATCAAAATGTTTTCAGAATACAAATATATACACAAATCAATCGAGACATCTGGCTTTCCTTTTTGTTTAAAGAAACGTGTTCAAAATGCGATCTCTTTAGCTTCTGAAAAATGCCTAAAGCTATTAAGCAACTTAAAAGCACACGCTAATTTAAGCTGGTCTGTAAAATATGTATAGAAATACACATCTTGCAAATTTTGGTGGACAATATGAGTTGCATGTTTTCTAGAAAAGGGACACATTTTTCTACATTATTCTGCTACAACTCCAAAGGCACATGACACAAGGGGCTCAAATGACAAAAAAAAAAGAAAAGCCAAAATTAGTTAAATTACATCCAGGTATATAAAATAGGCACATGCTAAGCCATTTTTACAGATATTTTCACAACTGGAAAAGCAAATAAAGTAAATAAAAGGAAATTCATAAAAAAAAAAAAAAAATACTGAAAAATATGTTTTCTGTCCAAACACGGAAAAGTTGAAAAAATTAAGAAAAGAACAAATGGAAAACCATTTCATCTCCACTGTCTTAAAATATACAGTTCTTTACCAGCTTTCATTGCAACAGTCATTAATAAAACAAAAAAAACAAAACCTCAGGATCAGCTCTGATCTGATGTACTGTTGTCACAGGAAGTTCGGGACCTCAAGGTGTCTTGGGTTCCTCATTTGGCCTAAAGGATCCAGAAGGAAGGAAATGATTAACACCTTCTGTTAGCCGCCTCCTGGCCATCACGGTCAATGTGATTGTGCTGTGTTTTCTCACTTTGATGTGTCCATTTTTTCCTCCTCTGGCACCTTCTCTTCTTCTTTTACTTCTGTGAAAGATTTGAAACGACTCCCTCAATGATTTGATTATTACTTAACAGGATAGCAGGATGTGAGGACGACTACCTTTTGGTTCCTCTGTACTTTTCTTCTTCTCCTCTGTCTCCTTCTCTCCTTCGGTCTTGGTCCTTTTGGCTTTCTTGTAGCTGGCTGCATTCCTGCGACCGCCTTCGCCTTCATCCTCCGAGTCCGAGAACTCTTCCTCGCACGCTATCCTTTTGTCATGAGCACGGACTGGACGTTTATCAGGAGGGAGATGTGCATTAGGAGATGCTGCTGCTTCTCCACAACAACAACAGCCCGAGAGCTGATGCAGAGTAAATGTGGAAGAAACTGAGAAACGATTTTACTAGATATGCGTTTGTTTGGGTCGTCCTCTTCGTCGCCGCTGTCCTCCTGCACGGCGTCCTCAGGGATGGCTTGCATCTGGACTCCCGGGGCGTGAGGCAACATGCGCAGGTTCTCGAACAAGCGCTGCCTGTAGGGGGCGACACAGGAACACTTCAGCTCAAAGAAGTTCTCTGGTCTCTCAGGCCAAAAGCAAACAACAAATACTCTAAATGTGAAACGTGTTTCATGAACTCACTTGATCTTCTCCAGGTAGTCGTTTGTGTTCTGATTGGTCATGTTGGAGGGGCTGATGTGCAACTTGAAGTCTGGTCCAAAGTACTCAAAGTAGTCGTTGTACGGGAGCTCTGTCAGTTTGGGAGAAAATATGTACATATTTTATTGTGTCATCTGGGCGCGAGCATCTGATTGGTTCATTCACAACATCTGAGTTGAATATTTTTAAGGGCCAACTTGAAAAACAGTGATTCCTAGTGTGCCTTTTTGAGAAAACACTGAAATACATCAGGGAAAACAAAGCCTTATAGATTATTGTCTTATTACATACTCATTTTATTTTACGTCTCCTCACACATACCCGGCATGTTTTGACACCGACACAACGAGTTCCACTGATAAAGAATTGGGAGCAAAGAATTTCTAATGGGGGTTGGGGGAAGCATACCATTGGGGATGGAGCTATCGAGGGCCACAGCAGTCTCAAACGTCCAGCAACGAGCCACGTTCCGGATCGTATAGCCGCCTCCTCCCAGCATCAGCAGCGGCAGGTTGAAGCTCTTAATGTACTCCACACACTTGGCATGGCCTAAGCAGACATGGTGTAAGAATAGTATATATATATTAAAAAAACATTCAAATGAGACTCTGCGTGTCTCATCTGAGTCCCATAATCTTGCCTTTAATGGTGAGGTTGAAGCAGCCCAGTCTGTCCCCTGACAGAGAGTCAGCTCCACACTGGAGGACCACAGCACTGGGCTGGTACATCTCCATCACCTTCGCCATGATCTGCAGAAGAAAACAAACGCAACGGCGACAGTTGATATTAATTTTTGCTTTTTTCTGCGTCGAAGAACATCTACATTATGAATTTAACAGGAGTTTATTAACTCACAGGTTTGAAAATGGCTTCATAGGACTCGTCATCAATCCCATCCCTCAGTGGATAATTTACAGCATAATATTTACCCTTTCCAGCACCAATATCCTTAAGAGAACAAGAAAAGCAGCATTTTAATAGTGCAGCTCTCTGACGTGTTTACAAGTACAGTTGTTAAAGCCATACCCTGAGGTCACCGGTGCCTGGGAAGTACTCTCCATACTTGTGGAAGGACACAGTCATGACACGATCTGTGGTGTAGAAAGCCTCCTCCACACCGTCTCCGTGGTGGATGTCAATATCTATATACAGAACTCTCTGATGGTATCTACGAATGAGAAAATGTTAATTAATTCCAACTGTTTTTATGTATGTTCTGTGGCATCAGAGGCCGGAAATGTCATTATTACACACACTGAGCATCAACCTCTCTGTCTCACTCACTTCAGTAACTCCAGGATAGCCAGTACGATGTCGTTGACGTAGCAAAACCCAGAGGCTTCGGACTTTTTGGCGTGATGAAGCCCTCCGGCCCAGTTGATCGCGATGTCTGTCTGCTGTTTGTTCAACTTCACGGCACCGGCTGAAACACAGCGAGAAAGTGAGAATTTAAAACTTTTCTACAACAAAGGCCTACCGGACTTCTTCAGAGAAGATGGACTTACCGACGGAGCCCCCTGCTGAGAGCTGGCAGAACTCGAACAAGCCATCAAAGACCGGACAGTCCTCACCCACATTAACTGCAAAACGCAAACATCAGAGACATCCGTATTGTTCAGACCGGGCACAGCATCAGTCCTGAACGATCCAATCGTACTAAATATGCAACTAAAATGTTTTAGCTTTTATGCAACAAAGAGTAAAACCAGACATGTTGTCTGATTTGCTTCAAAACTAGCTTCAGAAGTGGCATGCAATGCTTGTTACTTAATTTAGCAGCATGAACACAATCCATCCTCAGACACTCTGAAGAATCACCCACATGACCTGGAAGCATAAGTTATTCTCTTTCTGTTACAATTTTTTTTTACTGAGTAACCTTACATCTCTCTAAATATTCTAAATAATAACTTGTGTTTCTTTAGAATATTTTAATTTGTTTGATTATTTAGAATTGTATGTATTTTAACCAAATAATCATGAGAAAATCTAGAAAGTCCTGAGCAAATAATTTATTCTCACAAATTAGTTGCTGATAAAAACACAGGCTTACTGATTTAGGGGCATTAAAATAATTTCTCATCTCTGACCGACTACATGCTTTTTTCTAATTGCTCTGAAAAGGTTGTATGCAAGGCATAAATGGCTTTGTAAGAGCTACTTCCTCTAAATCAGTCAAGATGCATGTAAAAACAATAATGGAACAGAAAGATTTTCGTTAGATTTTCAGACGAAACTTACATCTCTGCATCTGTTTGCTGTATTCTGACATGTTGTCCGGCCTGATGGAGCGCAAGAACCGGATGTAGTCATCACTGTGATACTTGGTCATCTCTTCTCCGCTGGCTTTGTGTGGACGCTGCAGCAACAAAAATAAAGGCACTGATTATGTCCTGGGACAGAACCTGTCTGCACAACCAAGTAGCATAAACCCAATTTCACATACATAGATCTCCATCTTTCTGTAGAGCCCATAGTTGAGCAGCAGGTTGTGGGTCATGCGGATTCGGTGAGGCTTCATGGGATGGCCCTGACCATAGTAGTAATTTCCAACATCACCTGAAATGAGGAAAAAAACCCAGAATCTATTAGTAAATAAACATCTGCTGAGGTCTGCTCACTATCCTATCGGCGATACTAGAAATAGGGAGGTGGGGGTGGGGGGTGACCTAAAGTTACCTACTGGCTTTTTAACATCAGTTGACGTTGATTTGAGCATTTCCAACAACAAACGCCAAACTTTCGAAGGTAATAAAATGAGTCTCTTCCCAGTACAAACTAATTTTACTGACAATAACCGTGCATCATGTGTTAGCGCGCTAGCTGATTGTCTGTTTTTTTTTTTTTTTTTTTTTTTATCAAAGTATAAAAACCGTTTCAAAAATGCACAGAGTTGTATTTGAAGAGCTATCTTTGGCTACGGCCAAATCACCTTTTTAGAGTTTAAGCACACCAACATCTCAAAACTGAGGTGAGGAGATCAAGCTGCGTCTCAAGCTAGCTACGTTAGCTTAGGTTAGCAAGAGGTAAAATTGATAGATGCAAACTCTGTCGGATTTTATCAGTTATCGAGTCTACTTATGAAACTGCAACTATGAAAGTACTTACCATCATAGTAGTAGCAAACTTTTTTCTTTGTGCCTTGCGAGGTAAATGCCATTTTAGTCTTATTTTTTGGATGGTTTTACCCACAGTGCAGGAGAGGAGACAACAGCGACACGTTTGGTCAATGGGATGTCAGCAGCTGCCCATAGGGGGCGACAGAGTGTCACAAAAGGGTTTCACGCAGAGATGACTCTTTACGTTCACTACATGCACAAATAGTCTCTGCTTCCTACCTCCACTTGCATCTAACAGATAACATTGCATCTTTTACTGTTTACATTTCTTAACCTAAAAAAAAGTTGAGGCATGCTAGGCACATATCAGAGTCCTGGGAGAAGCTCTGATTACAATCCACGAGAAATATTTGTGGGTTCTGTGCAATGCTCTTACACCTCACAATCTAGTACATAATTTGCCACTTTCAGGCAAAGTAGCAAAATATGTCAAGCCATAGATCATTTCAGTACACTCAAAATTGCTGCTTTATCTGTCATTTTTAAAATAGTTATTTTTGACCACTGTAAGCATGTCTTTCCTGCACAGGTGGCTATAGTAACTTGATGCAATTACTTATTTACTCAAATTATGTTTCTCCATCTGATGACATCATCAGTTACTCAGCATTTAAGTAGCCTTTTATACAAAATACACTTTTATTCCTGCTTGAGTCATTTATTGGATGACTACTTTTTACTTTTTATTGAGTAAAAATATATTGAACTCTTAACTTGATTACAATTTCTGGGTGCTTTGCTTAACAATTTTGTCTCATAAAAACCACATTACCTCTGCCTATTTATCTAATTTCAATTACTCTTCCTCTTTTGACGTACCTTGTTCATCGAGTGAAAGTATTTAAGGGTCTTCTTTAATCAAAGCTCATTATTATATTGATCAAAATGACATCAGAAGGTAAAAGGGGGAAGTTTCAAAGCCTGAGAAGCTTCACAAAACAGATAGCATCAATAGGAAAACACTTCTGACTTAACAGAAAATAAAAACTCTGTAACTCTAGATGCTCTCTCAGTTCTGGCAACAAGAAAATAGAAAAATGTGCTACTCTTAACTTCTCCTAATTCTTTCTTAATTAACAGGAGAAATTTATCTCAATATACAATGAAAACATACCTACACTGAGCAGTGTAGGTATGTTTGGGTTGAAAACGTTATTTTGTACATTGAGCTCTACATTTTTTATAATCTGTCACCATATTCAAGTACACTTTATTTATTTTTTATTTTTTTATTTTTTAAAGATGCATCTTGCCTGAGTTTACTCAAAGCTTGCTGTCAATGGGTTGCTGGTACTATAAAAGGTAACAGACATAAATATGTCAATTTTGGCCGAAAAAAGAAACAGAAAACAAATGAAGATGTATTTACAGGAACTTTAAAACAGTATCTGATGCACACTAATCATCACACTTACAGAAATACTTCTTTTCCAATTTATACATTAGACATTCATTCTCTATAATAATAATAATAATAAAACATCCATAATGTACCTTTTTTTATAGCCAATATGCTTCAGTTGAGCAATATTCTGCTCAACTGGCTTATTTTATGCAACAATACACAGCATTCACAAGACGTTTGTCACCGTAAACACAACTGTTATCATACTGTGGAGGTAAAATTCAACTGAAGCAGTTATTTACATGTCACTGTAAAAGCACCAGGAGTGCAGCTGTTTTTTTCAGCCCAGTACCGAGTCCCCCGTTTACTCAGTCACGATTGATCATCAGCAGGATCGTCACGTCTGATGACGTTTGCCATCAGAGATCATGGCAAACGTTTTCCAGGTTAGTTTGATGCAGAAACAAAGCACCACTATGTCGATCGTCCCGGCTCCTACTCTTTAGCAAACAGTTAAAAATCCAGCATTGGCTGTCTGCAGTCATGCTGTTAGTTTGATTACACACTTATGTGTCTCTGTATGTCTTTTTTCTGTCCATTGCAGCTACTCTTGGTACTGCCGCTCTGTGGCAGTGAAGAAGTCTTCCAGGAGGTGCTTCAGGTAGTCAAACGTGGGTCTGTCCTCTGGTCTCTCCCTCCAACATTCCTTCATGATGTCATAAAGCTCATCAGGGCAGTTTTCTGGCGCCGGCATCCTGTATCCACGCTCCAAGTTCTGGATCACTTCTGGGTTGGACATACCTGAACAGGAAATAAAAATATGATCAGTTAAAATAATAATAATAATAATAAAAAAGAATAGTAATTTGTTGATATCCACCTCACGACATGTCAATTTGTCCTCTGTAGTGCACATTTGCCACTACTACATACCATTTAGTTAACTCATTTCAGTCGACAGAGAACATTTTTATAGATATCTCATTCTTGATTGTTTCTAAGGTCGAAATTAGTTCTTTCATCTTAGGACGACAGCTGGGTCTTCCTTCAGACTCTAGAATAAATTGGGACTCTAGCAATACCGTGACACGTCCAAATAACCTGTAAAGTTCTTGTTGTTTTTTTTGTAAAGACTCCAAAGGCTTTACAAAACTTTGCAAATCTACAATTTAAAACCTAGCTCAAAGAGCATCCAGTTAATCCAACGGTAAACAAATCACTTTGTTCTGAAAACAAAAACCAGCAGCTGCACTCAATAATGACACTAAACCGCTAATAAGATTAAAAGGTTTAAAGCCTTCAACATCATTTAAAGTATTTAGGGAGATTAATGTTTAGTTACACCTAAAACACAGCACATGTGTGTTACATAATTGTTCAACTCCAATGGTTCAAGTAAATTATTAGTGCCAAAAATGAATTTGAAATGAAGGCCTAAACTCAATAGATAAATAACTGTTGTTATTTTCTGTGTGATTCGGTTGTCATCCTCTGGGTTAATCTCTTTTGTGTACTGTTCCTTTTTGTCATCGCTGAAGACACACCATGTCAAAAAACACATAAATATAAAAAAAAAACAAAAAAAACAAGTAGACTAGGTAGGAGTACCTGGGTAAGGAATACGCCCGTATGTCACTATTTCTGTGAGAAGAATCCCAAATGACCACACATCAGATTTTATGGAGAAAGTGCCGTAGTTTATAGCTTCTGGAGCGGTCCATTTAATGGGGAACTTTGCACCTGTTAATACATTTAAAAAATAAAAATGCAGATTGTGAAAAAAGTAAACACATTCACAAAAAACAGTCATTTCGAGCAAGTCTTAATAACGTTAAACAACAAGTCTTGAGGGTCCTCCTCCTACCTTCTCTGGCTGTGTATTCATTGTCTTCTATCAATCTTGCGAGGCCAAAATCTGCGATTTTACAGATGAGTTCATGGGAAACTAAAATGTTGGCAGCCCGCAGGTCTCGATGAATGTAATTCTTTTGCTCGATGAACGCCATGCCGTCAGCCACCTGCAGAGGGCAGCACATCATTTACACATGCCCGTAGAGAGCGTGTTTGTCCGTGTTGAAGTGTGAAATAAATGTCTGTGAAGGATCTGTGTGTATGTTGGCACTCCAGCAGGACAGATGCACCAAAACCAGGGAGTTTACCACTTCCCCTGGTCACTTGCTTTCACCCTTTTACCTTTTTTTTTTGTGCTCTGACGTACCCCGCCCAGGTGCAAAGCTGAGCGGCTTACGCAACTCAATCTTATGGGGGGAAAAAAGCTGCAGCCTTACTTTAGACCTGTCTATTCAGTGACTGAGTTTCTGTTTCAGTCACAGTCTACATGACTCATTATTAAACATAGGACGCTGGCGACATCTGACTCTACACTCGATGACAGAGGATATTCTTGCATGAGGTGTCTCAATTAAGATTTTTGCAATTCCAAAGACCTCACCTCCCACAGTTTCTGAACAACTGGAGCATTTTCTGCCTGTCAGTCGAGGCTTTAAACTGTGAGGATTTGTTTGAGGAAAGGTGTGCATCTCAGAAGCTGCAATGTGTCACATAAGTGTCAGGGCAGGCAGTGTTCTTCTCAGAAACCTGAGATGTACACCTCATACTGAACTCAAGTTTCAGTGAATTAAACTGGGTTATTCTAGAAGGTGAAGGAAAATGGTAAAAGTTTGTATAATTGTTAGTAATCTGAAAAATGGGGTGTGTGTTTATATCCATCCAATGTGACACTTCTAAATAAAATCCAGAGCAACAAAAGGTCTGCAGAAGTTCCCTCCCCAATTTAGCAAATTTATCCGAACTGTCCAGCTACAAACATACTGAGACATGTCCATCCACCTAATCTGACAGGCGCCATGCAAGGAGAGTCTGAATCAGAGAAGAAGCCACAAGGCCTGTGGAGGTGCCTGCAGAGATCTGCTGCTCAGGTGGGGGAATCTTTTGACATGACAACTTTCAGTGTGGTATAAATCTGGCCCATAACAGAATCCATCAAGAAAAATCAATATGGAAAGATCACCATAGATGTTCTACGGTCAGTTTGTCAGGGACAGCAAACACGTGGAAGATGGTGCTTCGGTAAGACGAGACTGAAATCGATTTTGGTAAACATGCAAACTACGTGCAGCACAAAATTAACACTTCACACCACATCGAATATACCATCCATACAGTGAAACATGGTAGCAGCAGCATTGTGCTGAGGGAATGCTTTCCTTAAGGGGGAGCAAGAATATGGATGGGGGTAAATACAGTAGCAATCTTTTAAATAAAAACAGGATTCTTATTGTTTTTATTTAAAGTAGCATGGAGTTTTCAATGTTAGATATATCTAGGATGGATATTAACTTTCCAGGATAGCCTTAAACATAGAGCCAGACAGAGGACAAACGTAAATTAATTTTAGTATCTGTGGCAAGACATGAAAACTGATGTTCGCAGAGTGTACGAGTTTAATCAGACAGACTTTCAGCTGTTTTGGAAACAAGAATGGGCAAAAACTTCAGTTTTTAAACGTGCAAATCTGACAGACACATATAAAGCCACACCACATTTTTCAGATTTTTATATACAAAACAATCTTACATTACGTTGGCTTTCATTTTCTCTTCATATTTATGAAGTTATTTGGTGGGGAGGGGTCTATCACACAAAATCCCAATAAAATGTTTTGAAATTTGAGGTCATAATGAAAGAAATTGAAGGGGTATTATGGTGTCGTGATGTCCACTTCAGACCTGTTAGCACCTAGCTGCCCTTTGTTGATAACTAACAAGACTTCAGTCAGTTTTTTTTTTACATGTTCCAAGATTATCTTCTTTATACTATATGCTTTTGCACATTACTAAAAGAAAATGTCAGAATAACATTTAACCATCCATGACCGCATGATGCCGAGAAGCCATGTTACCACAAAATGTTGTCGGCGTATGATGGCTTGGCATGAAAGCATTGTTCGCTGTAAAACTTTCACCACACCGCTCTGCATGAAGCGTAGATCTTTGCACCGAGTTCTGACACGTCTAAGAGTTTGCCTTCTTCAGATGAAGCCGTTTGCCGTGTAAGACTTTGAAACTTCAGGCTGTCTTCCTGTGGTTGACTTTGTCATTCCCACACCCACAATACCCCCATAAAACTGAGGTTTTTCAAGGGCAAGTAACATTTTGAAATTCCTTAAGGTTAATCCTGCATCAAAAAAAAAAAAAAAAAATTAAAAATACTTTTTGAATTTAACTTTTCTCTGATTTCTGTTTTAAATTGGTTCGGGTTAGAATAAAGTCTGGTTGGCGAAGGAAAAGAGACTCTGAAACTCATGAGCCTTCCCACACCTTGAAGCACACATCCTGTTCACATGTTGAGAGCTTACTACATCATAATATTATCACTTTAAATGCACTTCCTGTTTAACCATCTAGTTAAACATAAGATATCAGTAAGCTTAAAGAGATTCAGAGAAACTAATCTGCATCATAGTTTCAGGTTCTGTCATTGTGGAGTGATCTCCATATTTTAGCTTAGTTGCCAGCCTTGATAAATTAAAAGTGAGAGTGCAAAATAAGTCGCAGTTTCAGCCGGTTTGTCCACTCCAAATCCTGTTTATTAGTGCGAAGAATGGTTTTATTTGTGTCACGGCGTCTAGACTTGTAATAACGATGACATGCACGCCTTTCTGCACACATACCCACCCAAGTCTGCACATAGCATTACAAGATTAGCGTGGAATTCAAGCCTCATTAAGACAGTTGGTGATTTATTGCCCAGTAGGATCACACTAAGCGTGAGGAATTGGAAGTACAAACAAGAGGTAATCAGGTAAATTAATTGGAAGGTCAAATTATTTTTCAAAGCAAAGAATGATAAAGGCAGACGTATCTCACCTGTGATGACATGTCTATCAGTGTGTTGGTGGGTAAATTGCTTCCCTCCTGTGTTTTCAGGTAGTCTACCAAGCTTCCTGTAAAAAAAAGAAAATATTCAGAAAATTTTTAAACTGAAGCTTGGACATACTATTTCAAAGTAGGATTATGACCACATTGTATATTGCATTTCAAATGAATAAATCATAATGTGTTTGGAAATAACTAAGAGTGAACAAGGTGTGTACATTCAAACATTTCTGACAAACACCAGAACATTTCTCTGTGCCTCCAAAATTATTATAAAGGCAGATTTTAGCACTTTTCAAATATTTTCAGTAAAATGTAGGTTAAAAAAGGAAATATTTGCTTTTGATTCATTTTCTGTTTTGCTGAACAGGCCCGTCCTCTTAACATCTCAGGCTTTAATATCTGCAAATCTAAAGTTCTAATAATTTAAAATTTTTATGTAATGAATCTAATCTGTGGGTTTTATAAACCAATCTTTAAAATTGAGTGTAGCAGGCATCTTAGGTGTGACATCCTCCTTCTGGTGTCTTTGAGATAGTCACACATCCTGCTACTCTGTTCTTTCTTATGTATAAAATGTGTTTTTTCTGCCATTTTTAAAACATATGAAATTGTAGAGTATTTGGGGGCCTGTCAGTGATCTTAGCCTACAACTTTTTTCATAAAGAAAAAATGGGAAATAAATGATCCGGTTTAGTGTTATGTTTTCTCTTGATCAAATCAGCCAGTCAAACGCGCTCATTCAAAAATGTATGTATGCAGAAACTTGGTATTGTCAAACTCCTGATAGAATCAAACAGGAAGTGAATTTATTTTGAAGAATTGTGCTTTTCCATAGAATTATTTGACACCTATGGAGCATTGTCTTCAAAATATCACTATGTAATGTCGTATATAGTCATGCTGCTGTTTTTATTTTTATTTCCTATGACTTGGACCTGCTAACATATCACTGTCACCCAATTACTTCCGAACCTCACATCCTCTTCAGAGTTTCAAAGTAAAACTTGATAACTTCCAAAACAGTTTGATCATTTTTAGGACATTTTTCCATTTTATTTTGTCAATGTGTTAATGATAGTTACTGCTCTGAAAAAGTAGCTCTTATTAATGGAGAATAACCATGAGTGTGCTTCAATATAATCTCTTTAATGTTTGAGTGGCATTAACTATGACCAATGCCTAAAAGCTTTTACATCATAACACTGATATCTCAAGAAGAGGAATAAAAATGTAAAAAAAAAATGTTAACTTCATGTCAAAGATGAAAATGTAAAACAATAAAAATAATATGCTGCATTTGGATGACAAATGACATTTTGGAATTTATTATTCTTCACGGATATAAATAAATCGAGCAGGACCGGAATAACAGGAGAAATCAGCAGAAACAACATTTCGAGGAGGTGCAGTGTAATCTGTCAAGTTGATGTGCATTTTCTGATAACTAACACAGAACAATGTCTCCGTTTGAAGATCGGCTAAATAAGACTAAAGGAAATACTTTTGAGAAGAATGACTGTGCCTGGAGAAAAAAGACATTTACTCCTCTGCTTAAGTCTGGAAGGCTGCTTTTGAAGTTTAAAAGCGAGAGCAACCCTCTTTATCAAGGCCACAAAGGGCAGCCGGAATGACGCGCCTGGTATTTTTCCTTCCTTATTGTGCTCAATAATGCAAAAAAATGCGGGACAAACTGTATAAAGATGGGAACCTCGACGGCAGAGGAGACAATTGTCCACACATGGCTCCTGGACAAAGAGCCGGCCTTATGTGGAAACACTGCGGCTGGTTTACAAATGATAACACAAAGGCACTCCTTTCACTTCAGCTCTGAGGCTGTTGTTGTGTTTATGAAAGCATCTCTCAGTGCATTTTGGCGCCGTCACTCACAACATAAAGAATCACAAAGACTTTCGAGGTTAAGGGGGAAAAAAATCCGCGATTGCTATCATCTGAATGCAGATTCTGGTCATGTGAAACCAGCAGACTGCTGTCATGCCCTTATTTTATCTGTCTTTGGAGCTCACGGTTAGCTTAAATGAGATATCTGATACGAGGAGGAAAAGAAGGAAGACCCACAGACAGGATGCAGATCACACGGCTGCCGTGAAATCTACTGCCGGATTGTTTATGGCACCAGCGTGCATGATGAAAACCTCTCACGTCAGAAACTTCCCCTCCGCATGTAAACACAATTAACCTTCCAGGACAGGACCGGAAAAGAAGAAGGGAAAGTTCATGTTTGCTTGGAAACATTTTAACACCTTAGCAGTGAACACAAGCGAGCCTAATGAGGGGAAACTAAAAATAGCCAGCATAAACAAGCTGGACCTCCTGCACTCCAGCTTCATGCTCAATCGCTGGTGATGAATGCACTTTATATTTCCAGTATGTCTGATCTCATGCACAAACAAGATATTCTAAAAAAATCAGATCCACTGACGTTGAGTTGATTCAACAGACTCCCTGGACTGAAGTATTCATGTGAAAACATTGTGACTCATTAAAGGGCTGAAGCTTCCAGTGCTGCCTGGTCTTTTGTTCAAACATGTGTTCCCACCCTGAGTCCGATAACAGATCAACATGTTTAATCCTGAACATCTATGACACCAGGCTAACACCACTCCTTTGTCTTCATTCCTAGCTCCTAGATCACTCTTCCTAACTCTGCCTTTATGGTAACGAGGCAGGAGATTAAGAAGATTATTAATTCAGACAGGCTGAAACATATTTTAGTTGACTAAACCTTCTTGAAAGGAGCTTGCATGTCTATCCGAGGACTTATTTCCTATTAATCTTGCATATAAAAACACTCCAAAGGAAGGTTAATCTCCTGTCGTGATGATATTTGAGAGGACTTACCATTTTCCATGTACTCTGTGACAATATATATAGGCTCCTGGGTAACTACGGCGAAGAGACGAACGAGACGAGGGTGCTGCAGGTTCTTCATCATGTTGGCTTCTGCCATGAAGGCCTCCACTGACATGGTGCCCATTTTCAGATTCTTTATTGCCACTTTCCTGTCGTTGTTGTAGATACCTGGAAAAGGACATTTGGGTGTCAATGGATGTATAAAAAAACTCAACCTAAAACCTAAGGTTTATATATAGGTACCTATATAGAATTGTCCCTTTAATTTTAATGCAAAACAAATTCTAACAAAACTGAATGAGATCGGTTAATGTGGCAACAAGACATGGGTCGACATCAAGGTATAAAGTTTTTACATAGTGAAGGTTTCAAAATCTCAAAAAATAGTCATCTTCTCTCTTCTAAGGGTTAAAGTTCTTGTAATGAGAGGATGGCAAACTAGCTTCCCACCCCCTCCCAAGTCCAATTCAACTGCGCCCCTACCCCACTTATTGCTGCTGGCTCAATGAAACCTGCATAAACTTTCTACTTTCTCACAAGAAAAGGCTCATTTTCAGTCATAAAAAAACTCCATGATGACTATGTCTGTTAGCCAACCGACTACCACCCAGCAACATTAGCACATAGCCAGACTTATTAACCAGCTAATACCATGTTGTCACTCTTGTATATTATGTAATATATTATGCAAAGTAAGAAATAGAAAAAGAAAACTTAATTTGGCAAATGTTTGGTCTAAATTTTTGACTGTAGAAAATACAAAGCAAAACAAATGTTACTGATGACATTATTACGTCTGCATTACTCAATATAGCTGTGGTTTAGCAGCAGTAGTAGTAATTGCAAAGTTTCTCTTTTAAACAATAGCCATTTTTACATCATGGTATTTAAACATGAAAAAGTGTAATTCTACAAGAAAATTATGATTTTAAAAATGTATTTATTTATTTATTATTAATAACAAATAAGAAGTTGCTTTGGATGACAGTAATAATATTATACTTGATCAGTAATAATAATATACTTGACCAGTAATAATAATAATAATAATAATAATAATAATAATAATAATAATAATAATAATTTTCTATTATCCACTGTGATTCACACACATGAAATTGATGTACTACTAAAAGCATTTACTCATCGCTTGGTTCAAATGTGTGCTGCTCTAAAAACAGCCTAACATGACTCGCATGGCGACAAGCTCTCTGGAACACTAACACTCACTAACATGTACTCAACCAAAGCCGTGGCCATCCAGTTTGTTCTTTCTCTCACATAAAACACTTTCCGGCACGCCAAGCGTGAAGCGTATAGCGATGAGGGAACAAATCTTTATCCACTAATGAAAGCATTCCTCTTTTGCTTTCTTCTTCTTTTGGTAATGCACTGATGGTTATCATGTACAGTGCCTTAGTACGCAATACTTACTGAACTTTTAGTACGAGGATTTCGACATTTTTTTTTTATTTATTTATTTTTTAAACAAAATCTGAAAAGTGTGGCATACATTTTTACATTTATTCAGTATCTTGATTCACTAAATTTGCAGAAACACTATGTACTGCAAGTCCAGCTGCAAATTTCTTGCTGTGTGTGTCTCTACCAGAATGCTTAATGCATCTAGCAAAGTGTGTATTTTTATTTATTTATTTATTTTTAGTAGCTCAAGCTCAGTTTGATTGGACAATGAGAGTTTTGGACAATTTTCAAGTTCTGCCAAAAAAGTTTAGGTCATTCTAACCGACGAATGTCCTCTGCTCTAAGTCACATAGTAGTTCTGCCTTATGAATAAAAAAAAAATCGTAATTTTTCTCACCCTTCATAAATACGTATTACTGCGTGTTGATCTGCAACATAAAATCCCAATACATTTTTTGCCTGACAAAATGTGAATAATCTGAATCGAGGTACATAGTTGCTCTCATGTTTGCTGGCGTCAGTAAACATTTCACTTTGGATGGAGTGGACAAACAAAGAGCCCAGATTTCAAGCCGTACAATGATGTGAAAAAAAAAAGTGGCAGTGAAATGAGGGCAAGTTCCATGGTTAGTAATGTTTAGCTTTTGTTCAGTGCTGTGTTTTGGAGGTTAAATGGTGCTGGCAAATGAGGACGGAAAATAGCAGGGAAATTATCCCTTCAATTGAATGATAATGAGGTTGTGGCCTAACCAATGTGCTCGTGATCAAAACGTTTAGCCCCTCTTGTTTAATTTAACGCTGCATAATCAGATCCAAAGTGTTGTTGGGAGACAAATCTTAAAGAGCCATAAACTCATCAAAAGGTTAGATAAGAGTATTCGGAGAAATGATGCACAACAGGGTCAATACCACACATCATTCTTTCGCTAGGCAGCTCAAACAAGCCTACAATTAGAACTAAGCTGAAGGAAACTCTTCTGCACACACTGCAGAAAAACTCTGGCTCCTGGCAGGCACGCAGTCTAGCTCCCAACCAGACCAGGCATTTTCACATCTGATGTATCTGCGCTACATTTTTTTTTCTTTTCCTGAGCACACAAGTTAAATCTCACGCAAAAGGAAAACAGCTCACCCATCCAGACTTCTCCGAACTGTCCAGCTCCGAGCCTGCGCTCCAGCTTCAGGGACTCTCGGGGGATCTCCCACTCGTCCTGCCACCAGGGTTTCTGCGGCGCCCTGGACTGACAGGGCTTCACCAGGACTGTGCACAAGCCATCCGGTTCACCTGGAAAACAGCAACAAATACAGCTTTCCAACTCCTCAGTAATCAGGAATGTAGACTGGATCCCTCAGGAGGCACACATACGGGAGTAATGCTGGACGAGCTCCTTCAGGGAGCTGAAAGATATCTTGGTTGTGATGTAGAAGCCTCCATCGTCCATGTTGCGGATCCTGTAGTGCTTCACGCCTTCCCCCGTGTTGTGGTCCAGATCTCGGACCGATAACGAATATGACCCTGTAGCAGCATTAAAAATGAATAGTGAGAAAGTGACAAAAACATGCTTTGACCAGAACAAGCAGAAGCAGTAGAATAACACACTTAGACAACGATGTCAGCAGGTTTAAACATTTAGCTTAATTTTAACATCATTTTTTTGACTGGTGTGTAAAGACAGGTAAAACCACTTTCTAGACATTTTCTATAAAATTAATTTTACGAAAAAAACGATTTTATTAATAAAGATTTTCTGCGTTCATTTCAACCCCAGGTGTTATAAAACATTTAGCTCAGTGATTTCCATTAACGTGATCATTAAGTCCTAACAATATTTCCAGCAAATCTGATGAATCACCAGGTACTTCTTGAAATGCATCCCAAGAGGACAGACATTTAATGAGCCTAATGGAGCTAATTGGGATCAAACTCGAGCTAAAACATAAAATATAGAACCAAAATCTGCTACAAAGTGTTTGTTTACCACAGTAAACGATCAGCTAAAGCCAGATGATAATCGACGTCTTGTGACGTCACCGACCCAAATGTACTCAAAGCAGATTTAGAAGCTCTTTTTCAAAGAGGTTAGGGGTCATCCTAAAATTGCTTGTTGTGAAGTCCTGCAATTCACTACCCTGGTGTCAGGTCACGTGTCTGAAATGTGTTTTTAACTTGGGTCAGAGTGCGAGTTGGTTTGTTTGTGGGTAACCCTACAAAACTGTGGCCAACCTACGTCCATTTACATAAGACCAGTTTGTAAGCCACCCATGAAGCAAGTTATCTATGGATAAGCGTCCTTGCTAGTAGCTCTTTTTAAACCACCTCTAATTTATTAGCATTTTTCCTCAGTTAGATTTTCTCGTGGTATTTTAATTTGATTGTGATTGTACAGCATTTTCTGAGAAAATGAGGGATGTAAAGGACAAAAAGGATGCATCAAAGACATAGGACCTGAGAGAAACTCATGCTGTTGGCGCTAAGATGCTAATTTTTTTTTTGTCAAGCTGTGTCATATTTAATATTTTTACTAGGTTCATAAAAAAAAAACAACAAGAAAATTGTTTGTTTGTTTTTTTTTGTTTTGTTTTTTTTAACAATAGCTGAATTAACATTATTTAATATCTGGTCAACTGACAGCAAATTTGAAAAAATGAGGAGGTAAAAGAAAGTCTCAGGGGTAATTTGGGTCTTTAACAAGAAAGCAAAACTGAAATCAAATGAATAAACCCAAAAAGCAAACAGGAAGTGGGGTATGGAAAATTCAGCCCCAGGGATGGAGAGGGTCTGAGTCATGCAACATGATTTGCTTCTTGTTCTATTTATTAAGATCTCTGCTAATTTATGAAAAGAAGATTAAAATGAGAGCATTTCACCTTTGGAAGTCTCGCTTTCTCGAATCAGGAAAGAGCCCTGCGTGTTCCCTGGAGCCAGGAGGAGCCTCATAGCATCGTTTCGAGAGATGTTCCTGAAGAACCACCTGCAACACAAACGTACTTTGAGCTAACCACTTCCTCTCCCCCAGAGACCCGGCATGCATCACACGAGTTAAGATTAAGCCAGATGAGATGGTGCCGAGAGTCGTGACATTATGCTGCTTCCTCTGTGACGTACGATTCAGTCTCCACTGTGGTCATCGCGATAAAGTTGTGGGGAATGTAGCCCCGCTGGCCTGTGGTGAGCGACTCGGCCAGGTACCACTCCGCGTCGTCCCTGGAAGGCAGAGCAGACGCCAGCTGTTAACAGCGCACAAGATTTGGTTGTTTTGAATTGAGCAGGAACAAACACTCTTAATGAACTGCTATGGACTCATGCATCTTTTGCAGCATTTGTAACTGCAGCACGAAAAGGACCACAACATGTTTTGCATGCAAAATATGATTTATGCACAGAAAAAAAGCTCACTATTTGCTTTTAATCTTCCCCACTGTGAGTACAGCTTGTTTAAAGCCTGGCAGTAAAAAATGTTTTGACAAAATCTAATACTAGTCAAGCTATTTCACATTAAACATGCCCCCCTTTATCAGACTCAGCACTTTCAAACACTTTCTGCAAATTCATTTACTTATATTATCATCCAACATTTTTAATAATTTTATATTTAAATCTACTCTCAAGTGTAACATTTTCAGATTTCGTTTCCGTCATTTCTTGTCTTTTTTTTTTCACCTATTACGCGCCGCAGGCTGATTTTAACTTCATTGCATCAAAAAAATTACTTTCAGCAGTAGAAAGAATGGCCGAAATATTCTGTCATGTCTTGTTTATGACAAAAATGGAGTTTGTTAGAAAAATAATGAACCGGTCTTTAACCAATCCAACCAATTTAACCAATCAGTGAAACTGATTTGTGTCCTTGCATTGTTTGCTGACAACCTCAGTTATTCAGATTAAGTGGCAGCTCGAAATCTAACTTTTTACCGCAGAAGTCAACTGAGCGTTAGCACGTTGCAGTAGCAAATGCATAACACTGTCAAATTCAGCAATAGATTTGGAATCGATTTTCTAAAACTCTTAAAGCACTCAAGTTGTGTCTTTAAGTTATCAAACATCAAGTGATCAAAAATATTCTTCTGTGCTATATGAATTTTGAAATCACTCAACAGTAAACAAGAACTACTTAAGCTGGGATTGTGTAACAAGTAGAAAAACAATTAATAAACTAAAAATTGAGTATTTTTACGCTGTTTTTTTGCAATTTACAAGACAAATTCTCAAGATTTAAATGTCACCTCTGCGATGTTCAGAACTTCACACGAGAGGAAGTCTTGGATAAACCAGAAAGCATACATATGCAAATCTTAAGGACAATTATCTGCGTTTATACATGTCTTATGCTCGTTCAAAGAAAGCAACTTGTTTTTAATTATGTAAATATACAAAGAATCTGCAACAGATGTGACTTCTGATTGCTTTTCTTGACTGCTATTTTGCCCATGAGAGTTTGGGTGTCTTCTTTGAACTTTGTATTCGAAGCACTTTTTTTTTTTTTTTTTTTTTTTTTTTTTTTTTTTAATTTTTTTTTTTTTTAACTGTAGGGGAAATTTTGNTATTATCCACTGTGATTCACACACATGAAATTGATGTACTACTAAAAGCATTTACTCATCGCTTGGTTCAAATGTGTGCTGCTCTAAAAACAGCCTAACATGACTCGCATGGCGACAAGCTCTCTGGAACACTAACACTCACTAACATGTACTCAACCAAAGCCGTGGCCATCCAGTTTGTTCTTTCTCTCACATAAAACACTTTCCGGCACGCCAAGCGTGAAGCGTATAGCGATGAGGGAACAAATCTTTATCCACTAATGAAAGCATTCCTCTTTTGCTTTCTTCTTCTTTTGGTAATGCACTGATGGTTATCATGTACAGTGCCTTAGTACGCAATACTTACTGAACTTTTAGTACGAGGATTTCGACATTTTTTTTTTATTTATTTATTTTTTAAACAAAATCTGAAAAGTGTGGCATACATTTTTACATTTATTCAGTATCTTGATTCACTAAATTTGCAGAAACACTATGTACTGCAAGTCCAGCTGCAAATTTCTTGCTGTGTGTGTCTCTACCAGAATGCTTAATGCATCTAGCAAAGTGTGTATTTTTATTTATTTATTTATTTATTTATTTATTTATTTATTTATTTATTTATTTATTTATTTATTTTTAGTAGCTCAAGCTCAGTTTGATTGGACAATGAGAGTTTTGGACAATTTTCAAGTTCTGCCAAAAAAGTTTAGGTCATTCTAACCGACGAATGTCCTCTGCTCTAAGTCACATAGTAGTTCTGCCTTATGAATAAAAAAAAAATCGTAATTTTTCTCACCCTTCATAAATACGTATTACTGCGTGTTGATCTGCAACATAAAATCCCAATACATTTTTTGCCTGACAAAATGTGAATAATCTGAATCGAGGTACATAGTTGCTCTCATGTTTGCTGGCGTCAGTAAACATTTCACTTTGGATGGAGTGGACAAACAAAGAGCCCAGATTTCAAGCCGTACAATGATGTGAAAAAAAAAAGTGGCAGTGAAATGAGGGCAAGTTCCATGGTTAGTAATGTTTAGCTTTTGTTCAGTGCTGTGTTTTGGAGGTTAAATGGTGCTGGCAAATGAGGACGGAAAATAGCAGGGAAATTATCCCTTCAATTGAATGATAATGAGGTTGTGGCCTAACCAATGTGCTCGTGATCAAAACGTTTAGCCCCTCTTGTTTAATTTAACGCTGCATAATCAGATCCAAAGTGTTGTTGGGAGACAAATCTTAAAGAGCCATAAACTCATCAAAAGGTTAGATAAGAGTATTCGGAGAAATGATGCACAACAGGGTCAATACCACACATCATTCTTTCGCTAGGCAGCTCAAACAAGCCTACAATTAGAACTAAGCTGAAGGAAACTCTTCTGCACACACTGCAGAAAAACTCTGGCTCCTGGCAGGCACGCAGTCTAGCTCCCAACCAGACCAGGCATTTTCACATCTGATGTATCTGCGCTACATTTTTTTTTCTTTTCCTGAGCACACAAGTTAAATCTCACGCAAAAGGAAAACAGCTCACCCATCCAGACTTCTCCGAACTGTCCAGCTCCGAGCCTGCGCTCCAGCTTCAGGGACTCTCGGGGGATCTCCCACTCGTCCTGCCACCAGGGTTTCTGCGGCGCCCTGGACTGACAGGGCTTCACCAGGACTGTGCACAAGCCATCCGGTTCACCTGGAAAACAGCAACAAATACAGCTTTCCAACTCCTCAGTAATCAGGAATGTAGACTGGATCCCTCAGGAGGCACACATACGGGAGTAATGCTGGACGAGCTCCTTCAGGGAGCTGAAAGATATCTTGGTTGTGATGTAGAAGCCTCCATCGTCCATGTTGCGGATCCTGTAGTGCTTCACGCCTTCCCCCGTGTTGTGGTCCAGATCTCGGACCGATAACGAATATGACCCTGTAGCAGCATTAAAAATGAATAGTGAGAAAGTGACAAAAACATGCTTTGACCAGAACAAGCAGAAGCAGTAGAATAACACACTTAGACAACGATGTCAGCAGGTTTAAACATTTAGCTTAATTTTAACATCATTTTTTTGACTGGTGTGTAAAGACAGGTAAAACCACTTTCTAGACATTTTCTATAAAATTAATTTTACGAAAAAAACGATTTTATTAATAAAGATTTTCTGCGTTCATTTCAACCCCAGGTGTTATAAAACATTTAGCTCAGTGATTTCCATTAACGTGATCATTAAGTCCTAACAATATTTCCAGCAAATCTGATGAATCACCAGGTACTTCTTGAAATGCATCCCAAGAGGACAGACATTTAATGAGCCTAATGGAGCTAATTGGGATCAAACTCGAGCTAAAACATAAAATATAGAACCAAAATCTGCTACAAAGTGTTTGTTTACCACAGTAAACGATCAGCTAAAGCCAGATGATAATCGACGTCTTGTGACGTCACCGACCCAAATGTACTCAAAGCAGATTTAGAAGCTCTTTTTCAAAGAGGTTAGGGGTCATCCTAAAATTGCTTGTTGTGAAGTCCTGCAATTCACTACCCTGGTGTCAGGTCACGTGTCTGAAATGTGTTTTTAACTTGGGTCAGAGTGCGAGTTGGTTTGTTTGTGGGTAACCCTACAAAACTGTGGCCAACCTACGTCCATTTACATAAGACCAGTTTGTAAGCCACCCATGAAGCAAGTTATCTATGGATAAGCGTCCTTGCTAGTAGCTCTTTTTAAACCACCTCTAATTTATTAGCATTTTTCCTCAGTTAGATTTTCTCGTGGTATTTTAATTTGATTGTGATTGTACAGCATTTTCTGAGAAAATGAGGGATGTAAAGGACAAAAAGGATGCATCAAAGACATAGGACCTGAGAGAAACTCATGCTGTTGGCGCTAAGATGCTAATTTTTTTTTTGTCAAGCTGTGTCATATTTAATATTTTTACTAGGTTCATAAAAAAAAAACAACAAGAAAATTGTTTGTTTGTTTTTTTTTGTTTTGTTTTTTTTAACAATAGCTGAATTAACATTATTTAATATCTGGTCAACTGACAGCAAATTTGAAAAAATGAGGAGGTAAAAGAAAGTCTCAGGGGTAATTTGGGTCTTTAACAAGAAAGCAAAACTGAAATCAAATGAATAAACCCAAAAAGCAAACAGGAAGTGGGGTATGGAAAATTCAGCCCCAGGGATGGAGAGGGTCTGAGTCATGCAACATGATTTGCTTCTTGTTCTATTTATTAAGATCTCTGCTAATTTATGAAAAGAAGATTAAAATGAGAGCATTTCACCTTTGGAAGTCTCGCTTTCTCGAATCAGGAAAGAGCCCTGCGTGTTCCCTGGAGCCAGGAGGAGCCTCATAGCATCGTTTCGAGAGATGTTCCTGAAGAACCACCTGCAACACAAACGTACTTTGAGCTAACCACTTCCTCTCCCCCAGAGACCCGGCATGCATCACACGAGTTAAGATTAAGCCAGATGAGATGGTGCCGAGAGTCGTGACATTATGCTGCTTCCTCTGTGACGTACGATTCAGTCTCCACTGTGGTCATCGCGATAAAGTTGTGGGGAATGTAGCCCCGCTGGCCTGTGGTGAGCGACTCGGCCAGGTACCACTCCGCGTCGTCCCTGGAAGGCAGAGCAGACGCCAGCTGTTAACAGCGCACAAGATTTGGTTGTTTTGAATTGAGCAGGAACAAACACTCTTAATGAACTGCTATGGACTCATGCATCTTTTGCAGCATTTGTAACTGCAGCACGAAAAGGACCACAACATGTTTTGCATGCAAAATATGATTTATGCACAGAAAAAAAGCTCACTATTTGCTTTTAATCTTCCCCACTGTGAGTACAGCTTGTTTAAAGCCTGGCAGTAAAAAATGTTTTGACAAAATCTAATACTAGTCAAGCTATTTCACATTAAACATGCCCCCCTTTATCAGACTCAGCACTTTCAAACACTTTCTGCAAATTCATTTACTTATATTATCATCCAACATTTTTAATAATTTTATATTTAAATCTACTCTCAAGTGTAACATTTTCAGATTTCGTTTCCGTCATTTCTTGTCTTTTTTTTTTCACCTATTACGCGCCGCAGGCTGATTTTAACTTCATTGCATCAAAAAAATTACTTTCAGCAGTAGAAAGAATGGCCGAAATATTCTGTCATGTCTTGTTTATGACAAAAATGGAGTTTGTTAGAAAAATAATGAACCGGTCTTTAACCAATCCAACCAATTTAACCAATCAGTGAAACTGATTTGTGTCCTTGCATTGTTTGCTGACAACCTCAGTTATTCAGATTAAGTGGCAGCTCGAAATCTAACTTTTTACCGCAGAAGTCAACTGAGCGTTAGCACGTTGCAGTAGCAAATGCATAACACTGTCAAATTCAGCAATAGATTTGGAATCGATTTTCTAAAACTCTTAAAGCACTCAAGTTGTGTCTTTAAGTTATCAAACATCAAGTGATCAAAAATATTCTTCTGTGCTATATGAATTTTGAAATCACTCAACAGTAAACAAGAACTACTTAAGCTGGGATTGTGTAACAAGTAGAAAAACAATTAATAAACTAAAAATTGAGTATTTTTACGCTGTTTTTTTGCAATTTACAAGACAAATTCTCAAGATTTAAATGTCACCTCTGCGATGTTCAGAACTTCACACGAGAGGAAGTCTTGGATAAACCAGAAAGCATACATATGCAAATCTTAAGGACAATTATCTGCGTTTATACATGTCTTATGCTCGTTCAAAGAAAGCAACTTGTTTTTAATTATGTAAATATACAAAGAATCTGCAACAGATGTGACTTCTGATTGCTTTTCTTGACTGCTATTTTGCCCATGAGAGTTTGGGTGTCTTCTTTGAACTTTGTATTCGAAGCACTTTTTTTTTTTTTTTTTTTTTTTTGCATCTATTAAATTTTCTACATTTGACAGTGACTGGAAACTTTGGCTGAGTTCATGTTTTCACAGCATCCTTGCTCGGGAAACACACCGGAAACATGTTGAGTTCACTATCTGTTCTCAGAACCACAATGACACCAGAACCAACAGCAGGAGACTTTTATATGTCATTTATATGACTTTTGGTGTCACAAGTTGTTAAATATTCTTCAAATCAAATTTTAGTCACATCCATCTCCACTGAGTTTTGTTCCCGGGTGAGGAGATTGTAGCTTTAACTGCATTGTTGTTTGGAGTCGCATGCATTTTTCCACTTGCGAGTTTTCTCTGTATGGATTTACAAGTAGCTCACTTGTTGATGATCTTGAGTTTGTCTCCTTTATCAAAACCCAGGTCTCCTTCATGTTTGGGGTCATAGCTGTAAATGGCCACCCCGATGTTATCTGCAAGAAAAAAGCATTCATAGTTTTAGTCCTATGGCCAGTGTTCAGAGCACTGCGCGTCTTTGAACGGTTCTGATTGGTTTTCTACAAACACAGCAGTGATGGCAAAGCTGAATCTCAGCCTCCTTGACCCGTGCAGCATAACATTTCTGTCATGAAATGTCTTACAAGTATCACTGTTTCCTTTTGGAACAGAATTTTTGTTGAACTAAGTTAAGACGTATTTTAGACAAGTTAGAAATATGTTGTTGTTTTTTTCTTAATCGGTTCTTCACTAGCTTTTAACATATTTAATAAGAGGAAGGCAGTTCTTGTTTTTTTGGGGGGGAGGGAATTTTCTCTGATGACCTGGCTCCTATACTATTTTATTCAGTATGTCATCAATATAAATACATAAATAGAAAATATTTCTTTTACAACTAAACAAATTAAAATATGCATCTTTAGTTAAAACCTCTGTAACAAAATAAAGTTTATATTGTTTCACGTTCTGGTAAATGCAAAAACCCAAGCACAAAACGTGAGTTTAATAATTCAGATAATCAATCTTTTAAAAGTAATATATATATATATATATATATATAGCTAAACACAACTTTTAGTACATGACAAAATTTTTATATTTTCTATCAAAGAATATATTTTAAAAAATAATGTACACCTAAGGCCCAAGTAGGCTGGACTATTGTGATGACCATCCTCGCTGGATTTTCAACATTTGTTATGTACACGCCACAGTTATGCAAAACATTATTGGCTACATCCTCACAGGTACGAAGAAGACAAAATTTAGCATGACTATTCTTTTATTACAGGTCCAGTTTTCAGATTCTTGTGCCGGTTTCTTGTTATAAGTTTCAAGTTTTTAACCTCTTCACTTGCGGAGGAGCCTCTAGATTGCTTCGTTCTCCAGTATACAGGAGATACGTTGACTTTTGTATTAACCAGATCGCTCCAGTCCAAATGCAACAATAACTTGGATATTATGTATAGAATTGGATTTAGTTGTCCCCAAAATGGGGCAAATAATTGGGGAAATACAGGAGGCTGACAATGGACATGTGGAACACGAGCCGTCGAAAGGAGGCATAAGGTAAATTAAATTCTATTCATAAAATGTTTGAAAATTTGCATATATTTGTTTGCCAATACTTGGACTGACTGAAATAAAGTACATTTGACTTGTAAACTACATTTCATTTCAAACTTAAATCCCCAGGAAGTTGAATATTTCCAAGCGTCAACATGGTAATCGAGCAGTCGGCTAGATCCGTAGCTTTCATTTTAAAGAAAACGGAGAAAGGAAACTTGCGTGGACAGAACAAGGTTGGAGGAAAGTGGAAAATGCCGAGTAAACAGATTCTGAAATGAGAATAATAATCAGTACTATCGTCCTTTAGGAATGAGAACAGTACTCGACAGGACGAAAAAGCATGTTCAACAAATTTATTGAACGTTACTTTTGCAGTGTTTCTCCCCTATCAGACGAATAAATTGACACATTTAATTAAACATACAAACTTTTTCGGTAACACTTTATTTGAAGGGGGGTGAATAAGACTGACATGACACTGTCATAAACATAACATAACACCTGTCATGAACATGAATAAGCCTTCATGAAAATTTATGACTGTTGTCATAAAGTGTCATTCGGTAAATTATGACAATTTAATACAAAGTTGACATTATTCAAAATGTCTTTGTTATGACAACTTGACATTAACCAAGAAATCATTGCTGATATAAATTTGTTATAAAAGTATTACTGATTGCACTTTAAAAATTAGGTAACTTTATGTTATTAAAGGTAAAGTTTAAACAGTAAACAGTTCATGACAGGTGTTACGTCATGTTTATGAAAGTGTCATAACAGTCTTATTCACCCCCCTCCCCTCTTCAAATAAAGTGTTACCACTTTTTCAAACACAAATAACACAAGAGAAGCTTTAATATGCTGCAAAGAGACAAAGTCAGGAGATATACCTGGTAAAGGTGACATCGGGGGCGTATACTGTGATGGATATGGAATCACCTGATCTGTGTACTGAAGGGACAAAAAAAAAAGAGGCATTATTGGACAAAGAAAGAAAACAATGTAAAACTTAAGCAGACACTCGTACGTTTCTGGTTTGGGTAACCAGCTCTTGGCGGTAATTGTCGTCCGTTTTATTTGTTCTTTGTTTTTTTTCTCTCTGCAAACCAAACGCCTCTGTGTTGTGTCACATGCAGGTGGTTTTCTCCTTAATTCCTAATCTAATGGGACATCTCAGTCACAGCGAGGAAAGAAAACACTGAGGGAATAGTTGTGCTCCTGCTTAATCACACGCACAAAAGACAGCTTCCCTTGCAGTTATGTAAGTTTATTCAACTCTGTTGTACCGAAGCGGATTGAAACACATTGTACTGTATCATGTTTACTCAAAGGGACTGAATGGTGGGAGCCCATGTAAAGTGAACACCTTCTGGCTTCAGCCATTTGAGCATTTTAAGAGCAAAGGTGACCTCTGCGTCCACTTACTGGATTGCAGGCCTGGGGAGGAATTGGACAGTTGCAGTGTTCGCAAATTTCGTCCAAGTTCTCCATCCATTCGCTGTCTGAGTCCGAACTGCAGGCGCACCCCATCTTTTCTGAAATTTCAAACGGACACGTTACTTCTTCAGATAACACAGTGAAAGATTTATATGCTCACTAAACAATTACTAATGCTTCATTGTTCAACAAAATAAACAAGGCAATTACAACATATTATTAGTATTATTGTTATTGTAACTAAGAAGGTTCTACTAACCGAAATCGTAAGTTTTTAGGACAACTCTGGCCGGTAAGAGGAAATGTTTTGACAACAAAATGGAGGACGACAGCGTTGAACGCTGAAACTTTTTGCGCTTTTGACTCGCTTGAAACACACGCTAGTTCGGAGCTCTCCAAATCCCCTCAAAAACCATTTTCCTCTAGGCTCTAATGGTTTTCTTTTAGAAACTCGCAGCAATGTTAATCTCGCATAATCTGTCGCCCGCATGTGCTACGTCTCGTATTTTCACACTAATGCGCCGTTTAAACCAGCTTTCTCAAGGCCGCTCTACTCCCGTGTTTGGCCGCTCATGGAAAAAGGGTCAGCGGGCTAATCGCAGCCGACGTCTGTCCCAGAGGCTTAAAGCCGTGAGAAATCTGCAAAGGTCTAAATAACAACCCGCCATTTGCAGCAAAGAGGTCCTTAGGATGAATCACAAGGGGGATCACCAGCATCTGAAGGCGTTCTTTTATTATCAGCTCTCCTAGGCTTTCTGGCCCACACTTGGGGAGTCACACAAGTCAGTATTTTCCACTGAGGGGGCTACCCTCTGCCTTTTTTTTTTCTTATCATTACAAGCAGCTGAAGGCCTTTTCCAAACAAACTGCTGAATGTTAACAGGATATAGCAGATATGAACACAACAAGCACTCAAGATCTCCATGTCGAGGACACTTTCAAATCAACTTTTGTAACAGTAAGAACCAAACTGAGACCGGAGGTTCGTTTTATGCTACCTTTGTTCAAATTATCTCTAAAATAAAATACCTTGAGAAGTTTATTGTTCTGTTTAACAGAAAAGACACGGTTGGTGGTTTACTACATAGAAAACGGACAGATAAATAAAGACTACACGGTAGAAAGGTTTTTATATTGATAATTTAGAGCAATACTTGTGTGTGATGATGTCATCAGCCTTTCTGAAACTTCTGCTTTCGCCTTATGATAGAGTAAATAGACAGAAATAAAAGACGGAACACAGCTACTTGGATAAAAATAATTTCTTAAGTCATTTTCCAGTTGGCTAAAGATTAAATATATTTCCAAAAAAAACAAAAAAACAAAGCAAGTACATATTTATGTCAATTGTATGCAGTCTTTGCTGGTAACAGCATGTTTAAACTCAAACTTTGAAGGTTGAAACCATCACAAGTCTTTTACTCACCTGTTAAATTAATTGAATCTATCCTCAAATGTCCAATAATGTCAGATTTCAGATGCCGCCATCAAGATTCCCTTTGTTCAGACCTGAATTTATTCTGCCGAGCTATATGTCGAGAGAGCAACTTTTTTACACACCAAGAGCTTGGGTGTGAAGATGTCATCATCCGCCTCTCTTATTATAACTAAGCCTGCAAACAGACTTGATGCGGTGTCTCGTACACACACACACAGACACACACGCGCGCGTGCGCGCATATGGAAGAGCGACCCAGAGAGTTTCCTGTCGTTGAAACTTTGAGGGTTGCTCTGCAGTCTGTTTAACAGGTGCTGAATGTGCAGCTGTGTGCAAAGAGGAACGTTATGGGCTCTAAGACGACAAAAAAAAGGGGGTCAGGACAAAGCCTTTATCCAGAAAATGAGAATGTTCCAATACAGTTAGAAAAGGAGGGCTTTGTAGGATGGTGGTGACGCTACGCTTGTGTATTTTTGTCTTGGTTCTCACCATGTGATGATGTGGGAGTCACTGGCCTTCGCAAGGTGCCCTACCAGCATGCAGCTGACACAGTAATACCTGATTAATCAACACAAACAGAAATTTAAAATCACACAAGACCTTAATGAAACAGATCACATTTGCCCCCAAAGTGATACCACATAAGCATATTTGCAGCAGCTGCGCTTCCTCTGTTGTGGGTTAAAACTCTTTCTGGTTTAGTATCAAGAACACATGACTGCAAAAATATGGTTTCTCATTTAATGTCAATTAAAAAATAGCTTTGCCCTGACTTTTGTTTTTTTTGTTTTTTTAATCTAAAGTCCAATCAAATCAAATTTGACAAAACTGATTTTATGTATCATATCACCAAAGCATCACTTTCCTTTAAAATAAAAATAAAATAAACTTTGCATAACATGGATTTGTGAGGTCTCTCTCTCTCTCTCTGAGCCCCTGCATCTACACTTCTGAACATCTCAGGCTGCGGGTCGCATTTCTTCTCTTGTGGTGAACGGATGCTGCTGTAGAGCTTGCACTGGCAGGAAGTCAGTCCAAGTATCACAGATAGTGCACAGAAATATGTGCTCTGAAGGCTGCCACAGCTTAGATTGAGTCTCGCTCGCGACCAAAACCGCCCAAATTCTCTCCTTTTTTCCGTTAGAGTGAAATTCTGCAAAAAAACGTACTGAGGGTGTTTAAGTTTTCCACATCATGATACACTCCAGAGACTTTCTGGCAGCTGTTTTGAGTAAAACACCTAATATATGTGTGTAAACAATAGCAGAAATCCTCAAATCGGAGGCCTCGGCCAGCTCAGGGTGTTCCTGCTCCACATTTGTCACTGCTTCCAAACGTGGTTGGAAATCACATTCTGTTACGCAATCAAACTTAGATGCTATCGACGCACAGAAAGTTTTCCAGTCCTCCTACAGCCCGCTTTGTGATGCAGGTGCAGTCTTCTTTCATGCTGCCGATGCTTACTACTCGCACACGCCGTATCAGCTTGAGCTGAGAGCCGAGCATGCTTTATTTACTCCATGATATCAGCTTTAAAGGACGTGTTAGCTTTAGGTATGCTGAAGAAAGGTCAAGGGAGAATATCTGAAGGGCAAACCTGAGTGGCGTAAGAAACACAAAGGTAAAGAAAAAGGCTATTGAAGGTGCGATACTCAGGCTTCCCTCCAACTTCTTTCATTTGATATTCACCTTCACGTCTGGTTGTTCTGATTTCAAGTCACACATGAGGTCATGTGTCCTGCAGCACTCCACAGTATGAAGACTGTGTCTGCTCATTTTCCTCGGTAACAACAATCTGCCAAGGAATATTTTGTTTCATGTTCTACAAGTTGTATCTTACAGTGTGTCTGGTTCAGCACAAGCCTGCAGGAAATGAGCAACAACACATGAAAGAAAGAAGCAGGACACTTGTGTGCAAAATCTGTTTTTAGGCCAGATGATAGGGTTGGGGTCTGTGGTGATTTTTACTTGAAATAACTTTCAGGTTTTACGCTGTACAAGGTCATCTCTGATTTGTTTATCTTATTTCTAGGCAACAATAACAGATTAATAAAGCCTGGAAACCCGGGAAATGTGGTTAGTTCAAGTAAAATATTGAAAATGATGGGTGGTTTAAACTTTACTGTGAACTTGAATGTTAGTGGGGGGAATGTAATACCACTTACAGGATTTCATTACAGTCTGGGAAAGTCTGGAATAATAAGCATTTTCCTGGTCAGGATAAGCATGGAAAAATAATATAGAGTGTGGAAAACATTATATGTCAGTTAGATTCCCATCCATCCATCCATCCATCCATCCATCCATCCATCCATCCATCCATCCATCCATCCATCCATCCATCCGGGAATTTAAGTTACTCTTATTATTATTAAACACTTTTATGCAAGAAAGAAAGCAATCCAGCCAAGGTATTTTCTTTTATACTCGCATGCATAGTAGATACATTTACATCAGTACTTAACAACCAAAAATCTGCATAGAACTCAATGTTATACTTTTAACTAAAATACATCAACATACGAGAAGCAAAAGTAATCAGTCGCGCATTTGTTTCTTAAGTATAAAGCAAATCATTCATCTTGGGTGGGAGTGTGTGCTCAAGGGGGGAAAAGCAACACTTGGTCAGCTTTATACAGTCAGTGCTCTGCAGCATCTCAACATGTCACTGGGAAACAAAACAGCCTGCTGGCTCTTGTCACAGCCGTGCTGAGGTTGAAGGGATATTTTTGGTCCGTGAGGGAGAGGTGTAAAACAAATCATGAGGGTGACCTCCTGCTTTCTGGTGGAAACTGATGAAGGCTTAAAGAGTGCTGCTGTGTGAGGGGACGTTGTATAGCATAGAAACTCGCTGAGTTCCACCAGGCCCAACAAATACACACCGGCTCTGAGCTCTTTGATTTCATTAAAGCATGTGACAGCCTGAAAGGATCCGACTTGTTGGCGCCTCGTCCCTCAACCAGCTCAGACAAAGTTTGACCTTTTGTCTTCAGTCTCACTTTCACCGCTTTGATGGCCAAATTCCTTTTTTGCTTCACGAATTATATTTTACCTTTCTGTTTGAAGATTCTGTCACAATAATTGGTCCCTGGGTCTTTGAGAAAGTAAACAAAAATGTCTCTGGTGGGTCACGTTTCAGTTAAATAACATGATACAATGTGTTGCCGAAAGTATTCAGATGCTCACCATGACGTTTACATCAATTTAAATAGTTCCCCCACGCATGTAAGATTTGACGACCTCAACTCCTCTAGAAACTATTTCCACAAGGTTTAAGAGTGTGTTTATGGAAATATTTGACCTTTATTTCAAGAGAACACTTGTGAGGTCATTCCCAATGGTCTGCTTCTCGGTCTTCACTCTAATTCATTTCCAAATGAGCTCTATCAGGTTTAAGTCAAGGCTCTTTTCAGGACTGTCAAGTACCTCTACACCAAACTCACTAGTGTACATGGATCTTATTTTTGCTCTGGAGGGCGGTGAAGCTGGAATGAGAAAGCATCCAAATGTCCTTGTATTCTGCAGGATGGAGAGGACCTTCAATGAACCTAATGGGGTTTGCTGAATGTGGTTGTTCCTCAGCCCCATTCCTGAGGAACAACCACACACCATACCCCCACCACCAATATTTATGCATGGCACAGAGCAAGCAAGTACCATTCTCT